TTAAATAGACTTACCGCACACGGTGCTCACTTGCAATCCAGTCCTTACCAGAAGGGTCAATAGTGAATGTGACAGTCTGAATCACGGTGTCGTTATTGGTGGTGTTGTCAGCGGTGAACCATCCAACCTTGGTGCAAAAGTCGTATATGTTGAAAGTTTCAATGAGAATCCTTGCAATGTTGCTACCGCTATGATTGCCGTTGATGATCATGAATGCAAGCTGCTCGCTCTTCAACTCCCACTCCTGAGGTTTCCCATCTGGTGAGTCAATATAATGCGTAGTGACAGAGAGGAAAGGCACACTCGGTTCAGACGTCCATGAGTCAAAGGTGATGGAGATTTTACTGTCAACATGCTTAAGCCTCTCTCTAACACGCTGGACGGCCACCTTGGCCCGTTCAATAATCTCGTCACGAGTCTTTTTGTATGATGGGGGATATCCCTGTCTGAAAGGGAGGGCCAGAGGTATTGAAGTAAGCAGCAAAATGGTCCCTTATCGACAAGTTGGAATGCCTGTGTAATTTTAAGTCACCATTATAAATCAAAAAAAACACGATCATGCACCTCATCCTCAGAGATTAACTCGACAATATAATCCATCAGCCCAGACTTCGTAAATTCAGGAATCTTGGTTGCAAGGGAGCCATCTAACATTTGCTGGGCTCCTTCATCAGATGCTTTACAGGTAGGTAGTATTGCATGATCACGCATCTTGATGCCTCACTCATTGCAGCGGTCTCGATAGATTGGGAAGTGGCACTTCGCGTTGCAAGCAAAATGTGCGCGCTGAGTCGAAACACTGCCTTTGAAAAAGGATTGATTGGCCAGTACATTATTAGCTCTAGAATTGACATGAGTAATCTGCTTGATGTTTAAAGTCAAAATGTACCTGCATATCTCACACCACCAGCCGTCTTCACGTTCTTGGGTGTGTGGATTGATGTGTCCCTTCTCCTGAGTAAATACTACCTTCAAATCCCTACTGCACTCCTCTTTGCTCTTATGCTTGCGATTCTCACAATCCTTGTCTCCAAATGCCTTGGTCCTTTTGTAAGCTTCCTCTTTGTTGTTGTCCTTGGCCTCTTCTTCATCATCTGAAAAATCCTCTAGCGCAGGGGGTTTGTCGTCATTGTTGTCGTTGTTGTGATCACGGTGACAGACCAGACAGGACCCACTTTGCACGCGCTTGGGTGCAGGCTGTCCTTGGGGAGGTGCTGGAGCTGCATTGGCAGCATCACAGATTTTTTCTGTTGGTTTGACGGCTCAGCCTGAGTGACGAGACATGAAGGCAGTTAGCTTGCCATTGGATGCGGGAGGCAGAGGTAGAGGAAGCATGGGGGTGTCATCGTCGGGATCATTGTACCAATCGATAGCACTGGTATTTTTGAGTTGGCCATAGGATCCAAGTGCACACAACATTTGTGCAGCAAGGAGGGTGAAGATTGAACCTGTAGTTAGTAGCTCGTTTATACCAAAATTTATGATAAGAAATCAAAAAAATGACGCGCCTTGAACACACTGTTGCCATGCAATCAGTTGAGGTTGAAGCTTGAAGTACCAGAACGAGCAACCTGAGGATATGTTCTGAACATAAAAGACATTACAGTCTGAATAAAGATTAATATTTGATTAACATTGTGCTTACCAGAATATTGAGTGGATTACCAAGGAAGTCAGATGTTGCCAATGGAAATGTGTTGGGTGTTTTGGCTGCGAAGTCAGAGCCGCTGTGGATTGTCCCGAGATTGATTGACATGCCCGTTGCCAGAATATCAGAGCAGATACTGGTGGATCATGCAAAGAACCTGAGAACACCTTCAGATGGGTTCGAACAGGTCCACAGTATTCAGGTAGCAGCTGAACACCGAACCTAATAATTGGTTCGGTCCTTATGCTATGTCAAACCTAGGACCGAACCCGCAGTCCAGTCCGGGAGCATTCAGGTCTGAACTGAAGTTCAGAATCGGACTGTGGCAGCACTAGTTGTGACTGGTTGAGCAAGTGGTGGTGGCTCAATGCCTTTTAGAATGAATGGTTTGAGGATGGATGATGAAGGAGTGGTAGATGGGGCAGAACTCTCGGAGTCAAGCGAGTCAGCAAGAAGTGCCGTGTCGTGCCAGTCTGAGTCATTGGAGACATCAGTTGAATCCAGTGACTGCTCATCCGAAGCTGTTGTGTTCAAGTTGTTGCCAGTATCAGTGAGAGGCAAAGCCTCGATATACATTTCCTCCTCTCCTTTGATTTGCTCTTTGCTGACGGCTCCGTCATCGCACATATCGTCAAGCCACTCTGTCTCTACCCATGTATCAAAGCATTGGACTTCTATAAATTCAGCACTAGAAGACACAAGGGATTTGTCAGGGTTCAAGGCAGAGGTTTCGGACTTGTTCTTGAAGTCAAATGATGTCGGAGTCATAGCAGCTTTTTGGAGGTGCCTGCCGCATGTCAAGAAAATATTGTGTTCCCACTTCTTTAACAGCGAGTTCTTGAAAAAAAGCAGGTATAACCCTGAGAATCAGTATCAATATCCAGACATCGAGGCGAGGGAGTCGTCCCAAGTGTTGATAGGCACAGAAATAACAATGTTTGATTCGGCCATTGAATGATTCTAGGCGATTTGTTGTGCATGGAACATGTTCGGGCTCAACGCCAAAGTGTTGTGCTGCTTCAGCAACCCAGAATTCACATAGACACAGATAACTTTGAAAATACGATAAGAACACAAGGCCACCCTGAGTCTTTTTTTTGGACAGTGCATTAGGAAGCTTGCCAAGCTTTTGGAAGTAGTCGAGGAGTTTATTGTAGTGTGAGATTGTGTCCTCGAACTTTGTGATGTCCTTGAGCAGAACAAGCAGAAACTTTGCAATGATACATCAAACTTCTTGATGTGCAGGGCCCTTGGGAATAACGTGAATTTTTCGATTGACTCCATTTCGCCAAGCCTGGGTCGTGTGAAAGCGACATAAGAGAAGAAGAGCATCGGGAAAGACAATTGATAGGGCATTTCGCTCGCAGGTGTCGTTGTCGGTGACTAAAACCTTGATATCAAAATCTTCACCAGCCTCATTTTTACCCATAGCTTGTTTCCAGCAACCCAGAAGATCCTGCGGAAGTGGTCCATCATAATCTGCCTGAGCAGCTGTTGTTGACTTTCGAGCAGTGAAATGAAAGAAGACCACTGGAATGTCTTTTTTGGCATCATTGATGACCATGCCAATGAAGAGAAGCGAGCGAGCACTATTGACACCAAAAGTTCCATCAAGTTATGACCATATCACCAGGCCATTTCTTGTTGTTCCAGAGTGGAGATAATGATTATGAAGCGGTCAGATAGGTCTTCTCCACAGTGTTTGTTGTATGGGCAGGCATCAGTGAGCGCGGAGTCAGGTGGGCTGGGTTTAGATGATCGGAACCACTTTTCAAGGTTCTCCTCAGCTGCCGAGCGTTGTGGTACACCAAGTTCAGCAAAGTACATGCAATAAAGCGAGGTTGTTTCATGATCATTGAGAGCAAACTGAGGGCCAAAGATCAATGGTTCAAGGGAAGCGTCTAGCTTCTGTCACAAGGTCAGGATTGGTGGGAATCAGGAAGTATGCATCAAGCATCATGGTGAATTGTGATGGTGTGACATTGCGACGGGGTGAAGAAGTAAAAGGGTCAGAAAAAGATAGGGGGCCATGTTACTGTAACAACCACTTGGTATCACTACATGTACACAGTAGACATGATCTATCTGATGACATTGAGATTTTCGCTCTTTTGCTAAGACGAAGCAGTATGCCTAGGTCCTCTCTTTTTGCCCTTGTCAGACCTCTTCTTCCTCCACTTTTTCTTTTGTGCACACCCACTTCAATACCGCCAGCACCACTAACTGCATTTACGAACTCCGGTAGCAGGATCCTATGTGTGTCCTCAGCCAGATATATGATAGACCTACTTCCAATATAAATAGAAATAGACCTACTACCTCAATTGAGATCTGGTCCTACAGGAAACAATTTTACAGGGGGTAAACCACCAGGCGAGGGAGGCACACCATGCAACAGGGGATTATCCTATGGTCCTAGGCTCTTGATACAGTGCCCCTCACCTAGAAATAATTAGATGAGAACATATTCTGTGTTTTCATGCATATGTGCCATATCTATTGATGCAGGACACTTCAGGGGTGAAATAAAGATTGGAATCTACTCATATATACTCATAAACATGTTCTGGATATGATAGAACACTTCCCCATCAAAGGGGCAAAAATGCGAAAATGTTTTATATCCTACTCTATGTTAAATTGCCCCTGGAGGAGGACCAATCACACAAACAAATAAAAAAGCAGTCTATTATATTATATTATACATATACATACTAAACTACTACTTATATAAAGGGGGAGCTATTGTGGTGTGGTGGTGAAGTATGGTGTGGAAATAATTATAAATGTGGAGGGTGTACCATATTGGGTGATGTTTTGGGTGTTGTGGGGTATTTCCCACAGCAGGTGGCTAACAATGGGAAAATGCAGAGTGTGGGGATAATGTGAGGAGGCCTGACATTGTCGGAACTTTTTTAAAAGCATTTTAATCCATTAAAATGGCCTAACGACACGGACCCATTATAATATATTATGATCAAACAGTCAGCATTTTAATGAGTATCACACCATTTTAATGCACATAAAAATGATGATGTAATGCGCATTTTAATGGTGTCGACCTATTCTTAATGGATATTTTAATGGTACCCACCAAATATTTATATGCAATTTTAATGGTACTCACAAGATTTTCATATGCATTCCAATGGCGGCCAAGGTAGTCTGAATGCACATTTTAATCTTATTCGGCTGAGTCTTAATGTCCATTCTAACAAGGTGATGATGAGCAAATATTCGTCGCATATCAATTGCAATTCCCAGAAGTTGATATAAAAACTAATGTACACTATGTTGCGAAAGGAAAAGAGACATAACACCCCGCCCCCGCCCCCATCCTTCTAAGGGTGGTTCACGCTTCTGAATCGGCTGCTGCTACTTTACCTTCTTCTTCTGCAACACCTGTTGGGGAGGTGGTGAGTCCTGGTGTGAGTGCAGCTGCTATTGTGAGCGCGAACAACATGAATGCGGGCTCGAGTGCAAGTGCAAATGCAAATGGAATCACAAGCATTGGTGGTGGTGGAATTGGAGGTACAGGTGTCAATTCGAGTTCGGGTGCAGGCACGAGCATGACTGCGACTGTGACTGCAATGGGAGTAGGTACAGGCAGGGGGGATGTCGTTGAAATCATCGGTAAGTCCGTTCGGGTGGGGTTTCGGGAGGGGGACATTTTTCTAACCTCGACTTTTGCATCTACAGAGGGTGGGTCCTCCGGAGTGGGCAAACACGTGAGTGCTAGTCTCAGCCTGGCCCGGCTTGGCTCGAAAGCTGCGGCTTTGGCCTGGATTCAGACGACTCATGATGGATCGGCGGGGGGTGGGCCACATTTGAAACGTGGACGCTGATGTCTCAGCTTCGACTCGCGCTGCAGACGAGAAGGACGCGTAAACTTGACTGAGGTCCTTGTAGAAATGGAAATAATCGAGGCGAGGATTTGGAGGGACCATGCATTTGGTCCCTGATGACCCGGGGAAGGACATTCTGGTAAAATGAATGTCATAGAGCATGATTGGATAATGCACTGATCAGATTTGAACGTACCGTATGGATGAATACTGAGCAAGTTGTGCTGGTCTGAAACTTACTGTCATGCTGACTGGGGCCTTGTGCGTGGCATGCAACATGGACCACAGTTTCTGTCCAGAGGTACAGTTGAGTGCGCAAGTTAAAATGAACAAAGAGGCAAGAGTATTGATGCCAAAGGAAAACTCACCGTCTACCAAGATAAACTCTTCGTCCGGTCATGGAAAGTTTGATTGATCATGTTCCATGAACCGTTTCGTGGTTGCTGTAGGTATTACCTATAAGATAAACACTTCGGTTCATGGAAAGTTTGATTAATCATGTTCCATGAACCGTTTCGTGGTTGCTGTAGGTTGAGAATCAGATAATGGTACGACCTTCTGGCATCCTGGACTTACTGACGGCTGGCAGATGTTCAACATCAAATGTGCACGATGTGCCCTGCCTCCAGATGCATCATCTTTTTCAAAAGTAAGTTCGTCGTCATCGATAGTACAGAGGGTAGCCCTTAAACTTAGGTTAGAGCCGTGGCTCAGGCTAGTGCTAGGGCAGACACGAAGACTGCGCTGACTCCCATCTAGGACGCATGAATGAATGATAAGAAATTTAAATGGTACTTAATAATAAATTATAATGACCAACTTACTGGTCCAGGACCTGTAATATACTTGACTCGGATATTTCAGGTGAGAGCGACACGAAGATATCATGGGGAATGGTAGTGAAAAATTGGGCAAGATCATGCCAAGGTATTGAATGAAGTTCAAACGTTCAAAATATCGTTGAGCTGGCTGCGGTGCGTTGTCAATGAATGAAGTTCAAATTTCGTTCAAGTTCAACTCATTGCAATTGATTAGTAATACCATTAACATCTCATTGTGGGAACTCGGATAGGCTTCATATTACGATCGAAGGTATGTAATATTATGTAATCGATCACCTCGCTCATTGATTGATCGATCATCATTCGTCCGCTACTCCTCGTATCCCACTAACACACACCCATGCCTAAGTCAAAGCAGCGGGCGTCTGAGCTCGTGACATGCAATCAATGCGGAGCAAACGTTCACGCGCGTGGTTTAGGATCCCATTCTAAGTCTTGTTCCAAGCAGGAACGGGAACGGCTTGAAGACGAGGAGTTTGCTGACATAGTTCAGAGAGCTGAAAAGAAAGGTGAGTGCTCAATCAGTTGTTCAACGTGCTCGATAGAGAGTCTAATTTTTTTTACAGAACTTCGAAAGCAGCACCGCAAGATTCGCGATAATTTACGACATTTTGAAGATGCACAGTTGTCTGCTGGAGGTGCCGGTGAGCGCTTATATTTTAATGATGGTACTATGCTTTTCTCTGATCGCAATATAGTGAGCGCTACCACGATCTGGGCAGCAGACATTGGTATGTTCCCTTTACTTTAATTTACAATACACTAACAATGTCAGATATGCAAGGGTCACCACCTCGACAATACCCCCCAGTGGACCACGACACAATTCCTGACTTCAACGATGCTGACGATGGTCACAACGAGCCCGAATATGTTCACAACGAGCCCGAACTTGTTGACAATGAGCCCCGTGAGCTCGATGATATTCGAGTCGAACACCATCCCCACAGCCAACTCCCCTCTACTATACACCGCTTCGCTGAATTCTCCCGCAGCCGCCCAACAGAAGAGCACACGCCTCGTAACAACTCCCCATGGGAGCCTTTCCGCACGCGGCTCGATTTTGAAGTAGCGGAGATCGCACTCGAAGCCGCGATGACGAAGGACCAAACAAATCGCCTTCTCGATCTTTTTCATCGGTCTGCTAGCGGCAATGATTCATTCACGCTGCACAATCATGACGAAGTTCGCTCTCTCTGGGACCTCGCTTCGCAACGTTATACCAGAGTAAGTATTCACTCGTATGCTACAACTAACATTATAATAAATTGATCATTAGTATAAAGTTCCAGCATGATACACTATCTGTTCCCTTCAAAAAGGAGGTGTACGAATTCGATATGCACTACCGCCCACTCTTCGAGTGGGCGCTTGACTTATTGCGAGACCAATGTCTCACGCCTCACTTTGTCTTCGATGCGCAACGTCTCTCGAAGTTCAACGGAGAACAGTTTGTACGTTTCATTGATGAGCCGTGGACCGTGGATGCATTTTGGAATGCGCAAGTATGTTTCAACATTTTTATTTGTTGCCTGTCCTCATAAATTAATGCTACATAACCGAACTGTTGTATTGTAGTCACAGCTTCCCCCTGATGCCAAACCATTGGCGTTTATTCTCTACGCAGACAAGAGCAAACTGTCGTCATTTGGGAGCCAAAAAGGCTACCCGATTATCGCCCGCATTGCCAACTTGCCGGTTCATATTCGTAATGGTAATACTGCGTTAGGAGGTGGTCGTGTCATGGGGTGGCTGCCGCTTGTTCGTGTATCAAGCTTGCTCATTTAGTAGTGTTGTTAATTGTATTAATTCAGGTTGTCGAGGATCAGAAGCACACGAAAAAGAAGAAGTACGTGGACTTTAAAAATGCTGTCTGGCACACGTCTTTCTACCAGCTTCTGGCCTCGGTCGAGAAGCACTCGAAAACGGGCTATTGGTTTGAGTGTGCGGACGGAATCCAATGTTTTCTCTGGCCTTTGATCTTAATTTTGAGTGCTGATTATGAGGAACAGTGAGTCACAGTATCACAATAGTTTGCTACTCTACTGTGAGGCTCATGAATCACAGATGTATCATGGCATTGATCCGTGGACTTAAGGGGAAGTTCCCATGTCCAGTTTGTTTAGTTCCGCAGGACGAGCAATCCGTTCTCCATACCCACGAGTTGCGCACATGCCACCAATCCAAAGATGTCCTTCGTCTCGCAAGATCAATGCCCTCCGAGAAGGATAAGGAGGATCATTTGAAGGCTTTCTCGCTCCGAGATGTTGATGTAAGCTGTTTCCGCCATGATAACTACTGCTCGCTGATGTACTAATTCAATTGTAAGAATGTCTTCTCGAAAATTCCTCACACTGATGTTCATTGTGTGCTATCGGTGGACCGCTTGCATACAAACGAGGAAGGATTATGGGGTGACCACCTGTGGAAGGAAGTTAAGTTTTGGATTTCGGACCTTGGGCGGGAAGCAGCTGTCAAACTCGATAAAAAGTATGTATTGACACTACAATACATGCTACTGCTGATTCACTGCCTTAGCTTCGATGCCCTTCCATGATGGCCTAATGTGACACATTTTTCGTCTGTCATTGCAGTGGATTTCACTGATGGTACAGTTCTCAGGCATCTGTCAAAGGTTCGTTTGCACATTCTCGATGATTTTAGGTACTAACACGAACTTAGATGATTATATTCGCGGCACAGGATATCCTCACTTCATCCCACTGCAAACTCGGACACTTACTCCTTCGCTGTGTTCGCTACTACGTCGAGCTCGATATATACTTCATTGGAAGTCCATACAGAAGACACTATTGCAGCTGGAAAGTTGGTGTTGCAAAAGTTCTCAGACATAATGGGTGTAAGTCATTGTTTTTGTTCAAATGTCCCTACTAACAATGATTGCCCGACATCTCACCAGGAATACATTACCCAATTGCAACCCGAAACCTTTAAAAATTGGAACTTTCCCAAGAAGCACTTGATCTCGCACATATTCAATGATATTTTGGCTAAAGGCGTGACACGCAACTATAATACAAAGCCAAACGAAAAAATGCACAGTGCTTTGCGAAAAATCTACCTTCAGCGCACTAATTTTAAGAATGTTGCTTCTCAGGTTCACCACTTATAACTATCGCATGAATTTGGGCTAATTAATTGTTTTATTGTTACAGATCCTGCACTACGACGAATGGCTTCTGACCTCGACAACTATGCGCACCGAACTCGAAGAACTCGACGAGTACAATCAACGAGACGCTTGTGACCCCGAGACCAATGAAGAACTCGACGAAAGTACTACTCATGCGCATTCAAGTTTAGGATCGAAGCAAGGCAATCACTCTTTTTCGGATATCACACGTATGTACGGAACTGATAGAGCCTTCACCGACTTTCGGATGAAGCTGAACGGCTTCCTGAACGGCTTTCTACCACATAATCATATTCCGTTACCAAACGAAAGACGCATTCACCTGCGCGCAGAGGACATGGTATGTTAATCTACTTCACACCCAATTGATTCCATCACTTACACATTTCTATCAGATAATGGAGTTTCGGTTCTTGCGGGTTAACTACGAATCGATAGTTGACTGGCGCGTGCACCGAGACTTACTTCGGTGTAATCCGAAGTTCTATGGATCACCTAGGTATGACTGCGTCATGGTTAAAACTGCGGACAAGCCGTTTTTTGCTCGCCTCGTATACGTGTTCACCTGCTTGATTGGTGGCACCGATTTCCCCCTTGCCCTTATTCATCCTTATGATGTCAATATTGCCGATACTCGTCGAAGGCGAGATGACAACATTGGACTATGGCGTGTGCGAGCCAAACCTCGCTCATCCTCCGAGATAATTTCTGTCCGGTCAATCATTCGGGGAGCTGCTCTCGCCAACGATCCTGAAACGGCTGGGGATTATTTTGTCATCCACACTGTGGACACTGACATATTCCTTAGAGTTAAGGCTCTCCAGGTGCAATGATTCTGAGGCAAGCCATTCTCAATATACCTGGTGTCCTATTTCCCATCTCATCCTCTTCTACATACTAAAGATTGCCTTCCTGCATCCTATAACTCCTTCGCATGCTCTGTTCACCTCTCTCCGTTGTACCAAACATTCCGGCGCTAGCCTCACAATCACCTCTTATGTTCAATCCGGAGCCCACCTGGTCAGGTATTAGCATCCCCACCCATCCAGCCTCTTCCGTTGGCATCCGTCCTTCCGGACACCTATCGGATACGATACCGACAACGGACTCCCTTGGTTCCTGCCTATCCATGTCCATCCATCCCCATTGGTGCATCATTTGTCTTCTTTTATCACCCTAATCAACCAGCAGTCCGTATTACCTGTACTTCCCATACATGAGGCCGCTTACCGTCCTTTACATATTACCGCGCTACGGACTCGCCGATGCTACCGCCGCTTAGCGGATTCTGAGTTCTTACGGATTCTGATAAATAGTTGCGTCGTATTCTACCAATATCACTTCCCTTTTGCTCCCTTGGATTGGTATCTAAGTCTAAGTGATCAAGAAAGTCCCCTTAGTCTTCCGCGTCGCAACGGACATCTTCCCGCACCTCGGACCACTTCCGGTAGCTCGTTACCTCGAGACCTTGAAACCTTGACACCTCGAGACCTTGACACCTTGAAACCTTGATCATCGTACCGCTAGATATCCGTCCTACACGAACCATCCTCCGTCCGGACACTCCCTTCCTTAGACCGGACTTCACCCGTGTGTCCGCCGCACAGATCTTAAGCCCGCCGGATTGATTCCTTCGCATTTATTGCGAAGACTTCCTTCAGTAGCAATCCCCTTGGGACGAGCTATTATACTCGCACTCATACGGATCGGTAGTCTACTCTAACAGGCTACACGGAATCACTTTCGCTCACTGTATCATTCGCCCAAGAATGTCTATATTCGCACTGACAATCCCAACCTACCCGCCTTCTATTTTGGCCCACTCACGCACATGTTCGCAGTCTTCTCATCCCACCCGCCAGTCGGTGCTCGGACTTGATGGATTGCTTTACAGGTGCACTCCCGCCTTGCATAATTCTCAGCATAGCCCCCACCGGCAAACACATTCCACGTTCTCCACATCTGCCATCTACTTGCACATAAAACCTCGAGGCACTTGAAGCTTCCTTACCATCACCATCTCAGTCCCATATCCGCAGTTCTCCCCTTCATCACACCACAATGGTCTTGCAAATTGCTAAACATGTTTGCCGCATCGACTCTGGAAACACTCCTCCCCCTGCGCGCCTCTCTGCAAAGCCATTCAAAGTTCCCACCGGTATCCAGGGTGCCTCTCGCCTCCACCGAGCTCTCATTACAGGTGGAGCACACCACCACAGGCATGCAATTGAGCATGTCAAGAAGCTCAAGTCGCAAACTCTGTTCAAGTACCCGATTACCCCAGTGCGGGTGAGCTTCTCCACTCGTTCTTGTGATGTTGAGATGGGGGACTCATCAACAGTGTCTACAAGACAAAGGAGAGAACTGTGCAGGCATTCCTCCGTGTCTCCGATGATGGTGTCCAGCAATTCAACAACCGTATCCATCAGGTCCTCATGAGCTCTGGCTCCACCACTTTCTCAAAGATCGTTAACAAGTGGAACACTGCACTGATCGGTTTGATGACGTACTTCCACGAGGCTGTCATCCACACAAACGAACTCTTGGACAAGATTCAAACTCGTGTCAAGATCGGCTTGAACAGTAAGATGCCATCCCATTTCCGTCCTGTCGTCTTCTACATGCCAAAGGAGCTTGGTGGCCTTGGAATGCTTTCGATGGTTCATGTTCTCATCCCGCAGATTGACTTGCGATGGTCCAAGCAAACTGATGTCGGAGGTTTGTCCATTCTCTTATTTGATGACCATTCTCTCGCTCACATTATTTCATTTGAACAGTTACTTATTTCCGCGCTGGTATGACCCACGAGGAGAACCAATTGATTCTGAACTTGTACAGATATCTTCAGCCATGGGAGGCAGAGTTCTTGGATTCAGCTCGTGTCTGGATCGACATTCAGCTTCGTTGGATGAGCACTGTCGAGAACACAACCGTCAGTGTGATTATCTTGAGGATAAATGTGCTCAGGCTTATCATTCCGGACAACGTTCGCAGGACCATTCTCCTTATATGATTAACAAACCGACGCTGCCGACACGCGCCCGTGGTCAGGGACCGACACCCGGTTTGCTCTCGCTTGTCTCGGCCGCTGGACAGTCTCATCCTCATCTCCCCCCACTGTTACTCGCATTCTGTCCGGTCGAGAGTGCACCCAATACTGCTGTCACGGATGATGGTGCTGGCAGCTGGAGCACTTATACACCACCTGTATAGTACCACCAGGTATGGATGATTGTACTACCCGTATAGTACCTGGACCGGCATCATCGCCCGGTATTCCAAAACACGAATCCGTGCCAGTACCTCCTGCCCCTCCACGTAGGTCTTAGACTACCCGTATCTCTCCACCTTCCGAATGCTTATGCGCATCCCAGGATACCCCCTACATCCCTGTTTCTGACTGCTGGCGCTTGATGCAACCTTCGGTTACCGAGTAACGCCACCACGAAATGCAGCGCCACCCGATTCTTCTCCCCACACACTGTCATCACTAAAACATCTCCCTCCTGTCCAGCACACGTCGAAAATGGAGAATGATTCATTCTACAGCGGGGTATCATCATAAACTGGGATGACATGGAGAAGATCTGGCATCACACTTTCTACGACGAGCTTCGTGTAGCCCCGCAGGAGCACCCCGTCTTGCTCACCAAGGCTCCTCTGAACCCTAAAGCTAATCGACATGAAAATGCACCATTTATGTTGCCATCCAGGCTGTCTTGTCATTGTATGCTTCTGGTCGTACCACCGGTATCGTCATGGACTCTGGTGATGGTTTCACCCACACTGTGCCTATCTATGAAGGTTTCACCCTTCCACACGCCATCCTCCATCTCAATCTTGCTGGTCGTGATCTTACCGACTATCTGTACACTCGGGCATGGATCTGGTATTAACTAGTTCCCCGGTAGGAAGAATCTGTTCCAGCAGGCCATGGCCAAGATCACGAAGGCCAAGATCATCAAACGTTCACCATTTCACAGACGTAAGTGATCATATTTTGTCATTAAATTACGAGACTTGATCCGTCCGCATGTTGATGTGTAGATTTCCAATGTGTACTATCACACATGGACTGCATCGTGCTGCAAGATGTTGTATGTCTTCACTGCGTTTAAATTACTGTGCCATTGAACTTACTTTTTTTGGTCACAGCCTCATGACCTCAACAACTCTGAATGAGCTAATAAGTACTGGGTGTCACACCATGTGTAGGGTAATATTGAGGTCACTCCGAGTCGCTTCTGCCTCAGTTACTAATGACATTGTTCAGATGGAAAGGCCGCTTTGTAATGATACCTGACCACACGACCGCATAAAAGAGCATCGACTGTGAGACGGCTTTGACTTGACACCCTGTGACCCACCATCTCAGATTCCTTCCTGTCGCATTATCAATGCCTGACTCTGACTCAAATTCAGCATCCTTGAGTTCTTTGGACGAAGGCTCGGACTCGGCGGATGAAGGTGTCCAACGGCCTGTGGCTCCGCCAAGCAGTGGTGCTCCTATCAAGCACTACCAAGCGGTACGTTCTCGCTTCTGTTCGTATTATAAATTTTAAATTCTAACGCACTCGATCTACTAGTACATTAAATATCTCCAGCTTCAGCATGGGCAGCTCGAGCGGCGGAATGCATCTCTGAATGAGAGCAACAATGTTCTTGTTGCGCAACAGCCGAAATGTTCTCACAAACGCCCTCACGCATTGTTGTCTAAGGTATCATCAGTGTCGCAATCGGCATCTACAACACCATCCGCATCAGAATCCACAGTAACCTCTGTCGCAGCTTCGGATTCATCGAAGACCAGTGATGTCGACAAGTTGATTTTAGGCTTGGCGAAGAAGTATGCAATAACTACCGAGATGTTTCCCCCGACAAAGTCATTTTTCAAATGGACTGTCCTGATCCTCCAGTCGATTTCTCGGACCCAAATTGTTACGCAAAGAAGTCTGTGGAAAAGGATGCGCTTGTTGCAGAACTCTATGCATCCATCGACCACGTGTTGCACGCTCGGATGCGAACAAACATGTTCTTCAACCAGGTGTGTAAATTTTCCTACCTCAAGTCATTGTAATGAATGTAACTAAAGCTTCAATTAGTTTGGGAGTGGAATGCAGCAAGCTCGCTCGTCATTTCTAAATGGCCTTTGTACCGTCGCAGGTGGTATATTCAACATGCCCAACAAGTACTTCGTTTCAAAATACGATCGTACTTCCCTCCCTCAGGTCACGGACTTGATCGGATGGGAAGCGGGCAAGGGGAAAGTGTACGATATCTTCAAGGCACCAATACTTTACCCCGACCACGTCGTGAATGAGAAGAAATGTTTCAAAAACTGGATAGTCATTGCAAAGGTAAGGTCTACTCATCAACAACAGACATTGGCGCTCATATTTGGTTTTGAAGGTCATCAAGGTCGCGATATGCGGAAAGATGTCATTGTATCCCAAAGCACGTGGCGGACCACCTCCCTACACCAAGATATGGCAGCTTACGAACTGCACTCCTGGCCTGATTGCGTTTGGTGTCACATCAGTAAGTTTTCATTGCTCTAAATATAAACTGAGCTGATACTCATCACGTCCTGTAGACCATATTCATCCTATCACCAGACCAGGAATTTTCGGGTGATGGAGTCGGTGCTATTTCCTCAATTGCTTATCACTCCATCTTTCAGACGGTCAAGAAATTCTTTGTTGTTAAGTGGACCCACCAGTGCATCAAATCCGTTGTTGAGCAGATCAACGGATATGTATTTGATGGTGTTGTTAAGACACAGCCATCCGACGACACTCCGTGCACTGTGGAGCACGTCACTGAATCACTTGATCGCGTAATGGCTGCGCTGGATGCTAGTGATTCAGACTTGGACAACGAGTCATTGGAATATGTTGACTTGCAAGTGCCGGCTAACAAAGATCTACACTATTCCACTCTAGCTGCAACCACCGCAACCTCGGGACCCACAATTGTGGAAGCCATGCCCACCGACAATGTTCTTCAAGTCAAAGTCGCAGCCCCCATTGACAGGCCTATCATTCAAGATGACCCTATCCCACAGCCTTCTACTTTGACTTCGTGTCTTGCGACTCCCATAGCACCACATGCAGAGACTTTGGTAGATGCCCAGGATCATGTTGAAGGGAGCGAGGATGTATTACTAATTAGTACCAAATCTCTGACAAAGGCACCCAGGGGCAGGAAGAAAAAGTCGGCCAACGTCGATTCCACAGCTATGCGCCGCGCCTCACGTCACCCTGCGGTATGATATCTCTTACCTTATATTAGTTACCCATGCTTGTTTCAGTCTGGTGTCCTTCGAATCTAGAAGCTTATGTGTGATCTAGGCCCACAAAACAAAGCCAGTCGACAAGCCGTCGATACTGGAATTGTCTTGTGGGCGTGCGAGGACCTGTTGACTCTGAATCGTGCGTAGATGGTCCAGGGGGTAAGAAATTTAAACACAAGGGCACGTCGACACTTAGAACTACCAAGACACTTAAATAGGGACGTGGTGGGAGGGTAACTATATCGATTCAGAGTGTATTAATACGCAACGTGGTCAGAGGGTGAGAAACGCGACACAACGCACAACGCACGTCACAATCAACGCGTTCACTTTCAAATGCCAATACAATCTTGTTGTAGTATTATTAGAAGCATCAGAATCGCCATCAGAACGTCATTAAACTCCGCCTTAGGCCCATCATAATCAAGTCGAAAAGATTTTGATGCACAAATTGCATCACGACAACGTTGAAATTCTGCTTAAGGCAATTTAATGAGCTCGTGATCATGTCAAAATTATTTTGAGGCACATCGTAACACGTGATCATTATGATGTAGGTAAAAGATCTCCGACAATGAGGAGGTGACTAAAACAGGATGTATTTTGTGAATTTCTACTTTTGGAGGCCAAAATTGTGGAATAAAACACACCAAAACATCTGACACATGTGGAAAACACATTTGTAACTGAAAACCTAGCTGAGTTTCAAAATCCCAACAATGTGGCTGTGAAAGCCAAAACACCCAGTAAAATAGAGACCTGATATGTGCCATGCAATAGGTCAAAAGAGCAAACTAGCAGTTGCCAATGAAAATATGTCTATGGTAAAAATGGTAGTTGCCAAAATACTAGGTCTAATCTTACAGCCAGGGGTGCGGTTTGCTAATCATGCTTGCTATCTACATTACATGTTTCCTTGACTTTTTCTATGTATTCTTGTATTTAATGATCACTTTTGATAATAATATTCTTTGCTCATTCAATCACATGTCCTTGAATAAAATGTCATGGATACATATTTGGGTCATCATCAATCTCTTTCCTGATCTACATCGAAATGCCCATAATGTAGAGTAGCTGTGCTTTTATACATAGATAAACCTAGTAAGAAAATTGAACAACCTCTGGACAGCCATGACAGAACAGCAGACAATCTGTGAAGCAAGTATAAAACCACTATACAACCACTTGTAACTGGTGCACTGAAATGAGCAAGTACATGAGCAAGTACCACCAGTACTTCCCAGGATGGTGTGGGTACAACAATCCTGCTGAGGGGCAGGAAAATGATGGGTCTTGCTGGCCTAGGCTAGTTTGACTTCTCTGCTCCAGGCTCAGTGCTCACAGAGAGAAAGAGATCAAGAATAAATACTGGGCACTCAGACAGACTCAGACTCAGACTGGTACTGGTGAAAGATTGACTGGATTATGTAAGCAATAAGAGAGCCAACATAAAGTAAGTAAAGTATCAATTGTGAGGCCAGAGTCTGGAGGTTTCCTACAGTGGATGAGAATTTTGATGCCTAGTTGGGGCGCACAAAAATTCCCCCCTCCCAGTCCCCAACTGCAAAAACAAATGTGTAGATCATTTTGTCATTGTTCCAATCAAGATGCATGATCCCTGATCCAGCTTCTTTGGCTGCCACAGCAAAAAATGGGCCACCTATACAACAACTGGGGCGCAACTTGAGGTCACATTTAAGGAGCTTGAGCATCTGCTCATTGACTCTAAAATGAAAAATATCAGTACTAGGTAATCACTATGTAGTACTAGGGGACACACTTTAAAATACAATCCCATTGAATAGAGGCATGTTAAATAAAAGCAATTCCGATCTTGGGCGTAATGTAGGTTTTAATGAAGTAGAGAAGATCGTCCATGGCTCCAACAGCTTCACCAGATTGATCTTGGGATTCCAAAGTCAAGTGAGATTTTTTGGCAGTTTCAGGCTTCATGCTATGCTTGGCACCAGGGGCTATAAAGCGGTCTCATCAGGCTAAAAGACCACCTTATTGGTCATCCATCAAAAAATGTTTGAGTCAAAGGATCAGGTAAAGGGGAATCTCGGGGGCAACAGAGTCACAGGAAGATGGTCCAGAGGGAGGAGCAATCAACCTAGCTGGGTTTCAAAATCCCAACAATGTGGCTGTGAAAGTCAAAACACCTAGCAAAATAGGGACCTAGCAAGTGCCATACAATAGGGCAAAAGAGCAAACTAGTAGTTGCCAGTGAAAATGCCTACAGTAAAAATGGTAGTTGCCAAAATGTTAGGTCTAATCCTACAGCCAGGGGTGGTTTCATGTCTATGATGTCTAACATGTACTGCAAATACTGCTCGAACTCAACCTTTTCTGTGGAAGTAAGATTGTCAAATGTAGAGGTAATTTCTTTGAACTTTTCATAGTGAGTTTTTCTGCTAAAGGGATCAAGTTCTAAGAACCTCTTCCCCTGTTCACACAAAGCACAGCTGGTAGCTGCACCAGCTACTGTGACAGCATGCTTGATAGTCTTGAGTGAAGACGGGCCAAGATATGACGTGAATCCCCAGTACCAAATAAACCAGATGACATTGACCATCTGACTATGAACAAAAATCATACTGCCGCATGATGCATGATGCATCTGATGGATGGACCAGTTCAACAAGAAAAGTGTTTTGACAACATTTTGAAGTCCCAAACCGAAGCATCCTTGCGATATCGGCGAGGCACAGTTACTTTGACTTCTGCCCCCAAGGTCACAGATCTAACTTCAATTTGAGAAAAAAATTCATTGCTGAGGTAAATGTAAGAGTTGTATGTACTAGCAATTAATAGGGGTGTTCAACACCTGTCAACAGGGCAACGGCAGTCACGTGCGCTCACAGTATAACCGAATTCTGCAGACCCTCTCATATGTGCTGACACTGTGACAGGTCCTAAATGAGCAGGCCCCCTGCAGGTACCATAGGCAATGGCCCAGCTACAGGTATCATGGGCATTTGTCCAGCATGAGGAGCATGCGCTGTACCTGCAACAGGTCCCATATGCACTGGTCCGGGATACGGATATGGATAATAAGGGAACATGAGAAAGAGGCCCTCGGGCTGAGGCTGGGGCGCTCCGTGCCATGAGCTCGACCATCGCAGAAGAGTCAGATTAGAAAAACGAAGCCGTGCAAGTCACCAACATTATCCCTCATCAGCAGTTTTAGTAGAACCAGAATAAGACATAGACGAGAGGCGACACGCAGATTGCAGATCACCATCATACTGAATTGATGGGTAGCTTGATAGGGCAAGGGGCTGCATCCACATGTGTGGATGTGGATTGGGTCGACAGCAGTCCAGCTGATGTCTGACTCGGAGTCTACAATCTGGGTATACTGGACATCAATATTGTGGTATATAAAAGACAGATTATAAATCTACCATCTCCTTTGCTTCAAGAATGGTTTGTTTCAGAGCATCATGGAGGCTCTTGATATCTGCTAACTGCACTGGGGTGGCTACGTCCTCAGAAGTAGCTGAAACATCAGTACTATCTGATCCACAGCGTGTTTTGTTTTGCGTCTTCAACAACTCTTTCAGGTCAGCTTGGACATGTTCCACCAACTGGGACCTTATTCTCTCGTCCTTGTTACCACCAAACCCACTGGGAGTGCTCCAGTGCGGATAAATTTTGGCGTGCAACCCCTTCGTAAAGAACTTTTGATCCACTGGAACGTCGAGAGTGTTATAGGTGTGGAATAGGGTGCGGCAGGGGTAACAGGATAGTTTCAAAACTCCAATATAGCTGAAAGGAGGGAAAGCCAGGGTTTGCTGAGTGATACTTGAGGAGCAATGCTTCACAATGCACTGCTGAAGTGAAGGTGTATTCAAGTTGTTCTCCATCAAAAGACGATGCGTTTGAAGCAGCATTTCCTTGGATGGATTTCCAGATTGTGGAGGCAACTTGGTCCACAATATCATCAGCAATCTCTAGCCTAGCAAGGGCCTGTCGAATGATGAAGTGGGAGATTGGAAATCTAAATTGTTTCTGCTCGGTGTCTACAACTTGAACTTTGAGGGTGTTCTTGGAGTCTAGAATGACTGCCATACGGTGGGAATAGGTGACATTCTTCAGCAAAGCATCAATGTGGTAGCTAAGTGAAAAGACTTTGGAGAGATATCTCCAGAGTGGAAATTTTGTGGCATTATCAATGCGCTTCACTACAGATATGGTCCATATAAGCATTGGTCACAAGGAAGCACATCAAACCACTTACTTATTTCATGCTCCCATATTGTGAGTGTGGAAATAGCCCTTTCGTCTTTTAACATGGTCCGAAAATCAGAAGCAGAAGCATTGATTAATGTTGCCAGGTCGGTCAGGTGTGACGCAAAGTGACTTTTCACATCTGGATTTGTTATCTTTTGGAAGGTAGTGGCCCATGAGAATGTCGTATCGAGAACATCAGCTGCTGACTGGAATTTTGTGTAGTCTTCCTGCTCTGCTTTGGTCCATTGATCGCACTGAGTCTTCTTGTATTCTTCCATCGCTGGAACCACCTCATTTTTGAACTGATTGTACTTTTTGACAAGGTGTTTGATGAATTTGTCAACAGAAAATGCATAGATCAAGTTGATGAGGTTCTTTTCCAGACGTGGGGTCTCTTCACCCTTATCTGGCCGTGGGGTGTCTTCTTCATCAGACCCAGCTTTAAGGGGAGTGCACAGGGAGAACCGTATCTGCTGGAGCATGTGAAAGACCTTGTATAAATGATGGACGACCTCATCAGGAACACCATTTTTGCCCGCAATGTACAGCACACATCCAGCTGAATCTAGAGCAAGAGAGACCACTATGACTTCACCGCCAGGCTTTTGGATAGATAGTGATGCAATTGTGTGCCTGGTAAGCTCGCAGTGGCTGGAGAGTTCACAGTATCTGATGGGTTCACAATGTCTGGTGAGCTCGCAAAGTTGGTGTTTGTTGCGGGCACCGATGGTGCAATAGCCAGCAGGCTGGGGTCAATGCTACCAGGTTGTGAAGTGTACTCAGCATCATTAGCATCATCACTGAAAAACAACACTTGCGGAATGGGTGAAGGTGACCGTGAGGCCAGCTCCCTCCAGGAAAATTCTGAGTGAACGGGGGGAAGTGATTGTGAGGGCAGCTCGCTTGGGAAAAATACTGGAGTGACCGCCATAGGCATCGGCACGAAGTCAAGTTCAGAGGAAAATGTCAAACTCGGAGGAACCAATCCGGGTAGCATAGCAGGTGGCTGGGATATATCATCCTGATGGGGGAAAACATCAGCACCCAGAATATCATGAACGACATGACCGACTTGCCTGATTTGATAGTGATGCTGAAACAGGCGAGTAATCTATAGAATCCTAGGGGCAGGAACTATGCAAGTGCTGTGATGTCAAGTTGATTGCCGGGTGCTGGTGTCATGCATGGTATGCAGTCCATACCATGACATGTGTGCTATACAAAAGATAAGGAAGGTATAATGAACTGTACTCTACCATATCACCAAGTGATTCTATCATTTTTCATTGATTCATCAGTCTGTTTTCTGAAGCCTCGTTTCTCGTGTTTCATTTCTCGTATTATACACGGGGATTTCTATGTATTTCTATTTTGTTCTGTGACCTTCCATTTCTTTTGATTTTTCTTGGCTTATTCATCAGACTTTCTCACTAGCTGACTGATCATGTTTGTAATCAGGTCATGTGACTGGGAAATAAGGTGATTTGTAAGGATTCAGCCTGACTCATCGTGTTTTGTCACTGATTCGTCATGGTTTGTCACTGATTCGTCATGGTTTGTAAGACTTGCAACTGTATTTATAATCTTCTTAGTAAACAGGATGACTCAGCTCACCAAAAGGCTTGGTTTGTAAGCACAACCTTACCAATCCATGAGATGACTCATGCCTTTGATTTATCATGCTTTGTAAGATACATGTATTATTAGTAAAACAAGCTGACTCAGCACACCAAATGGCATGGTTTGTAAGCACATTCTTACCAACCCATGTGATGAATCATGCTTAGTAATCTGGCCTCCCAAAAGGTATAAAAGGAGCCCATTTTACACCCATGCAAATATAACTTCCCACTTTAAACCTAATTCACTAATCTGAGAGTGAGATTCAGGCAAGACATAGTCAAAGTGCAGGCAAACCAAGTGCCTTGAAGTAAGACTAAGACAAACTTACACTTTAAACCTATCCCACTAATCTGAGAGTGAGATCAAAGGCAAGACATAGTGAGAGTGCAAGTACTATCATTTCAACAAAGTAACTTCAGGTTAAAGAGTCCACAGGTAGGCTGTCCAGATAACTAAGTTACTCATCACTACTTTACTGAGCCAAGCTCTACGTACACTTAACGAAGACCTCTCTCTTTTATAGGAAGAGAGACACGAAACAGGAGAACACGACAAAGTTGAGACAAACTTTCATAGGTTGAAACACAACCTACTAGGGTGAAACATACCTATCATTTTTTCAGACACAACAAATCCACAGACACAGTTTATATAGTTTATTCAAACAAGGAGGTAACTTGTTTACTCTTTGACCACCCACGAACAACACATTATCAACCGAGAAGTAGAAAATCCGTTGACCGTGAACTTGAGGAGCTGGCAACTTCTAGTCTTATCTAAGTGTAGTTGTGATTGTCACTACATTTTACACTGATTTTACATAAGACCCTCAAGTAAGAAGACACCGGATGAACCTGTTCTGAAGTGGATGATGATGATGTCATTCTGCAAAATATGTAGTAGTAAGTAATATATTAGATATACTTGATGTACCTCGTCAAAATAAGCATTGTGCATGAACATCAGCCGATCTGTACCCAGTGTGAAGTGGTTTATTGTGGCTGTGTGATACTGCTCTGGCAGTATTGGGTTTTCTTGCTGGGGGAAAGTTGAAACATGTCGCAGGCACCCTCACAAGCAAACTCAATGATTTTCCTGTGTTTTGCAGATAGAGCATTCTGCACTTGTTCATGGTGCATATTGGTGATACAAGTCTGAAAAATTTACTCAGAGATAAAAGAACTTACTGTTGGGTCCAAATTCATTCAGTATTGAATCTTCAATGACCTTGTCAATTAGATGTTTCCTTTGCCATTTAGAATAGACCATTGCGTGTTTGGAAAAAATGATTTGCATAACCTTTACTTTAGTGGTCTTTACTGCCTCTGAAATGAACTCTTTCATCAAAGAAATGATTTTTTGAGTTGGCGGTGGTGAAATTTCAAGTTCTGTATTGCTCAGCCTTTTGTGCCCTCCAGTGACAACACCGGGTGTCTGCCCTTTGGTGGTGATGGCAGGAATTTGCAATGTGGAGTAGGGTATCACAGGCATGGCTACACGTCGGACTATGCATGTTGTTTGTTGTCCTTGCAGGGCCACTTGTCTGTACATGTATCAAATATGAATTGACAAAGTAATAGTAATTAGAAAAATGCATGTATATGTATAACCTCCAACACTGGAATTTCGCCTTGTCGGATCAACATTAAATCCAAGGCTGGTGGTATGTGACCATTGCCTCAATCTATGAGACTGACTCCTCCATCAGGGGCATCCTTCATCCATCGAGGCAAGGGCATGTGGAACTCTTGTTGATCTGGGAAATTATTGAATGATAGGTTTGGATCAAATAGGGTGTCCCAGAAGTGGTTGTAGAAGTTGTACTCAGGTTCATCATTATCTCCGTGTGATGGCTGCCCCTGTGCGGGTGCATGATTGTTGAGCGTTATCTGGAGGTCATATCTGTGCAACAAATTAGTGATTGGGGACTTACTTAAGTATGGCAGTCCAATGATTTGGAGTGTGCTGCTCGAACACCGTGCCTATCTTGGATGCAACGAAAGACTGCACGTAAAATAATAAGGCGTCTATCGCTTCCTGTGCCTCTGCTGACTGTTTGTGCATTTCCATAGTCAAGTGAGGCTTCTTACCAGCCACCTCCCAAATTCCGAAATGGTATCTGTCTGAGCTTGACCAGTTGGTGTCGCACTTAAGGTGCTGGCCAACATCACTGGCCCATATGTCATCCCAACGCCACTGCAAGCACCTCTGATAGTCCGTGGAGAGAAAATGTTCATAGTGAATTGGGAGGTGAGGAGGCATGCCAGCCGGAATGGTTTTGGCAGGAAGATGGTTGAGAGGTAATAGGATCTTGCCATACTCAGGCAGTGACATAAGCTGCTCCTGGTGCATTGAAGATGTGTTAATGTAGTGTAAGGAACATCCATTCTATAGCCTCATAAAGAGCTATTTCCATGGTTTTTGGCACCAGCCCACTAACCTAATGATTCCTCGGCATACCTGACGTCGTACACACATAACCCAATACCCTGCACCTTGGGACCCATACTTTCCTGTGCATTGGACCACCTGATATCCTTCGGAAACCTGTTATCCCTATGTCCAGTCCATCCTTGTACATCTCCACTGGTGAGTAGTTGCTTATTGCTCATGACTAACACAGTAGACAGTACTATTACATATGTTCCCATAGTCCACAGTGTCTCATGTCCACTTATATACAAAACATTGGACCTAATGACCCGCTACTATCTTCGCCTATAGGACTCCAGATTTCTACGTAGTCAGTTATATAGGTCCAAGGGACTCTCACAATTACCTTACCTTGCTGTAGAAGATAGTTCACTAATACAATTGGTCCACGAGACCTTGATATCTTGACACCTTGCCCAGTGCACCCGGTTACCCACTCATTACGACCCAAATGTAAATTATGTTAATGATACATACAAAAAGAGAGACCACACATACTTCACCAGACACAAGAACATGCCAGTGGTGTTATGAACAAACCCACAATCATCTTTGATTGTGGTGCAAAGAGGGGGGGTTCAGGTTCAATGGATGAAAAAGTTCTGTGAGCCATGACAACACTGCATGTTTGAGATTTGCGATGTCATCTCCTTGTGTACTGTATGCACCTTTTCACAGCTGAGAACATACAGTGAGTAAAGTAGGTAGAAATATGGACAGGAGAAATGTCTACCTCTTTCTAAATTGAATCTAATTATTCAACATCTGAAAAAAAATTCTTTAGCCAAGGAAGGTAATGAAGGAGTTTGTTAAAAGAACTGGATGTCTTGTCCTCGCTGGTCGAAGTTAGAATATGATAGCTACACTGTGAATGAGAACATACTCTCGGCTCATAACAAGCTCATCTCATCTTGAGAATCAAGTGATTACAGTCACTCTTTGTATCAATTGTTTTTGGCCACAAGGTCCTTAAGGCTGTCGAACAAAGAAACAAGCTAGAGAATGCCCCCTCTTTTGTGTACATTAGAGTTAGATTGTCTATGGGCATTACAACCAAACTAAATATGAGCTTATCATGCAAGTAAAAGGAGGTTGGAGACTCACAGCTTGCTCGCCCTAATATTTTTCAGCTTCTACTCCAGAGCCACAATATGTTGTTTGGCACAAGCAGCAGCAGTATCATCCTCGTGGTCACTGCCAGATTCTTGTTGTGATAACTGAGTCATTAGGATCAACTTAGGTGTAGGATGAGCAACTTACAGGCAGTACAGTGTTCAATGCTTATATCATATTTTGAGATAAAAGTAAACTGTACTTAGTATGAAGGTGAACGAACACTCACTTGAGATGCTGTGGAGCTCAAGGTGTTCCAGAACCTGCTCACTTGAGGTCTGGAGCCATTTGCTCAGCCCCACATAATGTGCTGTCACTCCATAAACATAAAAAAGAAGTATAGCATTAGTCAGTTAATGGACTCACATGTATGCCAAGAGTGACAAGCATAGCTGAGTTTATGAGGAATGGAATTCTGCTGCCAGTGATAGCAACTGCTTTTCTAGAAACAAATGTGTTCTAATTTAAATATGAGTGTGCAAAGTATACAGCGAAATGCCTGCCAAAAAATCAGTTGAACAAACTCTAGCAAAAGAATACTACAAGCACTTACATAGTGAGGTTCACTATATTCTTCAGTTGCATATGAACAACATTCCCAGCAGCAGCCAATTTGCCAGTTATTATGTAGATGTCAGTAAGGAAACCTACAGTCTTGCTATTAGTAGCCAAGTCTTGGGTGTACAGAGGATTAAATGCTTGAATTAAGGCCCAATTCCACTGTCATTTAAATGCATGATGTAGCTAGAGCCTCTTAAGTTACTGTAGGTTGAAAATATATATTCATAAACTTACAATAATAATGGTGCAAGCAAGATTGAATCATATGTTAGAAAATGCTGCTGGGCAAATCAGTCTCCTTGTGGAGCATGTGCTTTGCAATTCATTTCTCAATGCATTTTCAAAGAACTTCAGACTGGAAATAAATCCAACTAGTAGGCAATATGGCAGTGGGGCATGGTACAGATAACTCTAACCCTAAAAAGACATCAGCATGAAGACAAAAAATCAATTATTAGACCAACCAATCCTATATCATATATGTATGTGCAGCCAGTCGAACACTGTGCAGACTTGATTGGCCATAGCAATAGCAGCTAAAATGGTGGAGGTGAAAACAAAAGTAACTACGTCCATCATTTCTGCTTTGAGAAAGAATCCAAGATAGCACTTTTCCACATTGAAGGAATGTCCAGTTTAAATCTAAAGGACAATATCTAATAGGTAAGTATATTTTAAATTGGGACATTCTAATCAGCAGTAGCATAAACATAGCTTAGGGCAATCTTATGTGAGCAACACTGTTCAGCTCTACAAGTTGAGTGAGTCTACAAGCTTATATAATATTTCACTCTTGTCCCTCAACATCATCCTAAATTGCAAATTTGCAATCTGTGATGTGAGTTTTCATTCCTGTATCTAGCTAGTCACTAACTACCTCTAGATCTCCAGTTTGCACTCCCCAGCAGCATCTCATGTGTCAGGATCACTAGCACACAATCTTTCACCACACCAACCATGCAAGATCTATGCCTTGTGATCTCAGAGCACTTGGGCACACGTGCCAAATCTGATTTGCTGGGATCTATTGGACAAACCTCCTGCGGGGTCATTGGAGATTGCGGGGACAGTCAGAATCGCAGGTCAGAGAATGTGGCGGGGAGGATTGCGGAAGAAAATACGCCACGAAGCATGCTGGTGCAACCCTTGACCTAGATGAAATCACCCGCGTGTATGGAAAGAAGTGTATTCGTGCACCCTTCGATCTAGAAGAATCAACCAATAACGATGACTAGCATTTGTGTGTGGTACATGTATTCGACTCCAATTCAATTGCACAGCCTAATCAATACAAAAGATGTAGATAGCCACCAGTTCATAGCCAGCTTTTTGGGCCTCTGTCGCTATTTATAGATATGTGCTTTCCATTTACATATGCTTATCACCACGCCCCCTCCCCCAAACTTTGAATTTTGTATGAGAAAGTGTACTATTACATGTTTGAATTCAAATGAGCCCCTCACATTGTTATTACTACTATCTGATCGTCCATATGCCACCTGCACGCAAGAGCAAGGCCAACATTCCCAAGCCACCCAAAGGCTCTGGTCTTAATCCCTCAGGACTCCCCTTGGAAGATCAGGTCCATCTTGCAGAAGAACAACCATGCACAATGTCGTTCAGCTTCAATCCGCATGATCAAGATGGCTGCTGGCAAGGGGAGGATGCAGGTTCGTCTATTGGTTGTATTGATGTGGTAACTAACAACTCAAGTAGCCCTGCAGGACCAATCACAGACATTTCCCTCGTCTTCCTCCTCCGCGCCCTCGTCTTCATCTATGGCCCAGTCTTACTGGCCTTACTCCACCACGGACAATCCGCCTTTCTACCCTACAGAGCCACCCCCTTCAACAGATCCTGGTTCAAGCGCAGCCGCTCAGGATCGGTCTACCTGGCCTTATGGCTCTGCCCCAGATGACGATTGCCAGTTGTATGCCTTTACACCATTCACGGGTACAGGATCAGCACCATCTCCACCTTGGCAGCATGACCCTTATGGCGCAGGAGAGAACCAGACACCACCTTCCTTCCCCCCCAAATCCAGCTCCCAAGCGGCTGCACAGAGCCACACGGACACGACTGGCTATAGTTTGATCAGTGCCAGCGCACCAATCCCACGGTGGGCCAACAACACCCCAGACCATGGCGCCAATTTGTCCATGATGTGTTCTGGTGAGATTCCGCGCTCGAACGTAATGCATGTAAGTACTTTTGTTGTTTTAAATGTTGTGTTGCTGATTCGTCGATACTGTTACGACAATGGTTGTAGTCGGACTGGGATGGGTAAGCGAAGGACAACGGTCCTAAGCTATCGTGTCGTGTATCGGTTGAACATCAATATACCTGGTAGCCTAAGCCATCAGGTTATGACAGAATGGAAGGGGAGGTAAGCTTCTAAGGCGAGAGCTGAAGAAGGGTTTCGTGTTCGACAGTTAAGTCTAGACGAGGGATTGGTATCGACTCAAAGACAAACAGTCTAAGAGAAAAGAGGTATCGACTCAAGGATAGCGATCCAAGAGTATAGCGGGTTCATGATCAGACTCAAGAGAGTTAACTCAAGAGAATATACAAGTCAAGGTAAAACCCAGTAGAATCAAGTTAAGGAATAATAGTACAAGTGGATCAACTATATATAGGGAATGACTACAGTGTTCAGGGTAGGTCTGGTAATCATACAAGAGTCAGGAAAGATATATCGGGTAGGCAGGATCAGGCAGGAGTCCATGAGGTCAGGGATGGAGGTCACTGGGAACATCAAGGGAAATGGAAGTTCAGGCCATGAGGCCATAGATCAAGGGTCCAAGGGAAGCGTCTAGCTTCTGTCACAGAAGGTCAGGGTTGGCGGGGATCAGGAAGTGCGTCAAGCATCATGGTGAATCGTGAAGAGGTGATAGTGTGACGTTGTGATGAGGTGAAGGGGTGAAAGGGTCAGAAAAAGATAGGGGGCCATGTTACTGTAACAGATACTACTAGACGCTGGGGCCAGCAAGATCAATCCAGAGACGCGAGTCTCGATGCATGCCGCAAACACCATACATGACCATGTCACAACCTCCCACCACCAGCACCCAACCTCCCTCCCGATCTTTGTGGTGTTCTTCAGGACGTGAAGGGCCTGCAGCATCTTCTGAGGCAATGCTGCCAGTGGCAGGATCACCAATCACAGTGTCCGAGGACACTTGCAGGGAAATTGTCAATGACGCCAAACAACTCATCATCGGGGTAATATTTTCAGCCAACGCAATGACTCACCAGACAGCTAGCAGACAAGCGCTGGTAACAGAGGCAGTTACAACTGCAATTGAAAACCGTGGTCCAGAATGTCAGTGTTTCCCTCACTTTCAATGGACGTCTTACTCACTTTTCTAGTTCCAAACACTTGTTTCATCAGCAAGCAGCACCGCAGCGAAATCAGTGGGAATTTATCATTGGTGCAAGGCGAGATCATTGGGCACTCGTGGGCCGGCATTTTCACAGCTTATAAGCTGTACCATCCGAAATATAGTACTGCAGATCCTGTGGAATTCAGAATCGCAAAAGTGCAGGAGTTGACTGGGGGCCCTGATCCCCTGCTATTCATGCACGAACAATATGTTGACGAGGTATGTTTTTCTTAATTTTGAATACATATTTAAAGGTCTAATTTTTCAGCAGAATGGAAACACTGTCCTCGCAAAGTTCGAAAATATGTTTATCATGGGTATTGTGACCCGCTTCGTGTGGTATTGGGGGCGTGCGTCGTTTGTCACCGACTCAGAGTCACTGATTCAGCGGATGAAGTTCATTTTCGCTGTTGCCGGTGCAGCTACCAACTGCACATTGCTCAAACAGGGCACCTTCAACATTTTCGTCAACCCTTTCACAGGCGTCTTTCACGAGAGAAAATTCCAGGAGATCTTGGCTGCATTTGAGGCCCTTAATGAACAACATCAGGAAAAAACCCATACTGCCATAGCCCTGGTGGCTATATAGTGTGGTGTAGGCACTTGTAGTCACTGTAGCACTATATAGGCGCACACTACACTATATTGAGCTATATAACACTATATAGCCCAAAGCTTCACTACATGCAGCTATGGGTACACATGTGCTACAAGTAACAACTGGCAGCTACAGGTTGCACTCGCGTAACACTACCATCTACAGACTATTTATGACAGACACACCAAACATCTTGCCATCAATGAACTCGTTAAAATAGAAATCACTTGCCACCTCATATGTGTTTCCATTTCTCAACCTCATATCTACTGATTGTCCCATCTTCAGTACCAGATGACATGGTCGTAAAATTTGGTCGACATGGATTACAGCAGCATGGTGACGGAGTTGGCGTGTTGAGCAAGAGACTTGTCACAATTGAGAGGAAGAGTCTGGTGGTCTGAAAGGTGTGAACCATTCAAATGTAAGCGAGGGCTCTGGAGTATGTGCCGAACTGACGAGGGAGGGAAAATATAGCCCGAACTTGAGCCACTCGAACACCTGCAACAGATCACTATCAAATACGACCGTCAAACAAATCAGAAAAACATTACCATCAAGAGTGCATAAGCACGAAGACCGAGGCTCGTCTGATATCAATGCCATATCAAATCAAGCAGCGCAAACAGGCTTGCGGCCCGACACTACCACTTCTGGCCTTGCTCTAATGTGCCACTGTTTTGGTCCTTCACCAACCCGTCGATCAGGCGGCGACACGATGACCACTTGACGATAAACATCAAACCAGTCTTGAACACCAGGTACGATGGTGGTGTGCGGGAGGTTCTTGTGTAGGAATGTTTGCAGAGCGGGGAGAAAATCGACAGCACCATGTGCTGTCGCAAGCTTTTCAATTGTCTGGTGAGGATATGCCGGAGCCTTTGCAAGGATATGGGTTACTTGAAGGCTCGTTGAGGATGTGGCCACTGTTTCTTCTGACTCAGAATCCAACTCTGAGTCTGAGTTGAACAAATGGCACTCTGTGTGACCTGCCAAGAGAGGCTGTTGCGATAACCAATCCAGGTATGTGCCACGCAAGAACACTGCTTCCTGGTGCTGAAGCCACAACATCATCTGTTCTTCATGGTCATGTTTGTTGCTAGCGCGGTAAGCGTCCTTTGCAAAATAAATGTGCAAGTGCTCAGGAAGCTCTGTGTTAAAGCCATCAGCTGTGCCGAACAATGTGATTGACTGGACATAATGCATGAGTTGATGTAGCTTTGGTATATTGAAATGTTCTCGAATGGCAAGTTCCTTCAGCACATCTTTATTAGTGTGAAACACTCCCAACACAGTTTGTAGGGCTTTGAGCGTGTCCGTCGTGTGAATTCGCAGCTGGGCATAATACGAAAAGTCAAGAATTGATCATGCGACCACCAAGACACGGCTGGCACGCCGGCGACATCAACAAACTCAATCTTAAAGACTCGTCAAACACACACCTAGGCACTGCTCCAGTGAGTAAGCTAATAAAGACTCACTGCATTTCTTTATGCTCACGTCCTGTCCATTGTTTCACAGTCAAGATCCCTTTCTTGAAGTGACGTCCTGGGTAATCCGGGATCACCTTGAATCACGCATCCATCTCCTCCTCCCCGATAATATCAATGCACCATTTCACGAGGTGATCCTTAAACACTCCTTTATGGAGTTGATGCAAAAGATCCAGGGTGAAAGCCAGAAAAATGTTGGCGTGAGGCATATCAGCCCAGAATGGTTTATAAATGGCACATAGACCATTCTCCTCAAATTCAGGCGGATGCTGACCGTTCTTGCGCCTTTCCAGAATATCTTTTGTTGACTCAGGATCGCGCATCATTGAGTCGAATCTGTCCCCTCGCTCATTCGCTGCTACTAGACACTTGGGACAACAATTTTCCTTACAGCAAGAGACCAAACACTGCTCAGGGAAGTCGGTGACATATGCAGCCAGTATTGGGTGGACACGACGAACCAGCAAGTCCGTGCACACCATTTTGACACTGTCTTGTCCAGCGGCAATGAGAGAATGGAGGAGTAGAGCCATGCAATGATGAAAGAGTCTGTATCCGGCCAGGGAGCGTGCATCAGGAGTGAAACAGTCGAGCTTCCCTGCAGGTAAGTAACCGATAAGGACAGTTGCTCGTGCTGACACCTGACACCTTTTTGCTTTGGCGATGTTGCCAATAGACATATACACTGGCCAAGCTGACTTGTCCCCTCGGAACTGCGATAAGCAGGTTTTGTCCAACGATAGAATAATTGGCACTATTGTGGCTCCTTTGGGCAAGGTGTTCTGCTCACAAGGTCAGTCCATTTATTCATTGCTCCCTCTTGAACAGTCTTACTTGTGTCTCATGCCACCACTCCGCCATCCACATCTCATTGATCACTCTATGTAGCCCTGCACGGTCCGCATATGCTCTGGCAGGCGAGTAGGCCATATCTGCCTTGAAGAATGGGTTGCCAATAAGCTCCTCAACACACTCTACAGGATCGCGGCTCCAGAGTTCGACTTCTTCTTGCAATGGTGCTCCATTCTCATCCTCGCGATTACCATGCACAGTAACCTTCCTACAACTCCATCCGGGTCCATGTTGAAGTCCATCAACCCTCTGCAAGAATGAGCGGTTGTTATGAAATGATAAATTTGTGTGGTTTCATGTCTGGTCATGATATCAACATTGTGAGTTCAGTCAATGCTCTCAATGTACTATTGGTAGCTTCAAAAACTTGTCAGTGCACGTCTGACCAAGATTTTTGATGAGCCACTGGGCCAAATCCCACTCTTCTCTGGTAAGTCATACATCAGATGCCCAATCCCCTCGCCGCACATTCGAACACTTACACGTCTTCAAAGGGTGACCATGGATCTTCACCCACTTCCTCTTGTTCTCTTCTATACCTTTCAAATTTCATCTCCTCCTCACGCAATGCCCAGCCTGCATCTACCCGAGGTTCAAAGTAACGCCCCGTGTGGGAGAATTGTGTCCCGTCTTCGTCCTCGACTTCCTCCATGGTGACACGATGGTTGTCCGTATCAGCGGATGGGTGGGCGTGAACATGGGAGAAGTCAACAGGCGGTGGGCTACCCAGTGGGCCATCTTGTGCGTTCAAATTCTCTGTGTTGTCCTCAATCATTGATGCCCATTGTCTTTGACATTCAGAACATCCTGCAATGTGTCTGTTGAGACCTTCGTGGGTGGTTGTCACCCAGCCGCAGAACACACAGTGAGGCATAGATTGTCCGTTGTTTGTTACCCTAACTTGGCTGTGCACTAAGTCTTTTCTTTTTTCAGGCACAATGTGACCCTACATACCAACACAACCCTTGACCCTACTGTTCATACACTCATTTTCGCCGCCCGTCTCAATGTTGTTGTGTTTCTCTGTCGCCACTTATACACTCATTTTCACCCATCTCAAAGGACTATCTATACCCTGCTATACTCTGCAGCATCTCATGCTTCACTTACTACATTATCATCCATAGTACCCTTTTTCCTTTCATTTCGCCATCCCATACTTCACTTACTACATTATCATCCATAGTACCTTTTTTCCTTTCATTTCGCCGGAGCATGCTTCACCAGACCATGCTTCACTTACTGCATTATCATCCGGAGCATGCTTCACCGGACCATGCTTCACTTACTGCATTATCATCCATAGTACCATTTTTCCCTTTTTCCCTGACTCTAGATCTTTCGTTTCACCGGACACAGTAACATTTTTTCACCCTAACTACAGGGTATTCATACCCATGCGCCACCATTTCTACTGACCCAAAAACTAACTAAACTAGGGTTGTTATGCCGTGAGCTGCAAGTAGCAGCTCCAACAATTGGACTTTGCATGCCTCTTCACAGCGCTTCTTCTCTGTGTTCCAATGCCCAGCTATCATCTCCTGCACAAAATTTTGGTGAGTAACAGGGCCCTGAATGTGTTCTAACAGTTGCGCTTTACACGCCTCTTCACAGCACCTTATTTCTGCATCCCAACGTTCCAATATAAGTGTTCGAAGGTAAGTCTGAGATGCTTTGACGGGACCTGGTGTTTGACAATATGGTGGCAACGGATACAGGACTTCAGGGGGGGTGGACCCCCATTAGCCATAGCCTGCCCTGGAGCACGAACCACATGAAATGGTCGGCTCGGAGGAGGAGCTATGACCCTACTGAGGCAGGTATCAGCACCCGTCTCGACCTATGGTCGTAAACCCACCTTTTACTGACTTCATAACCCTGTGTCATAGGCTGTGGGTTCAGCTTGGCTTTGTTCGGTGGCAAGGAGGGTGAACTACAATGTTGGTTAGGATAAGGTGAGTGTTGGACAAGTGGACGAGCTAGTGACTTACTAGTGGTTCATTTTGGGGACGTTGTTGGTATCCATCGTTGGGTTGGAAGGAAAGTCGATCCATTCCTCTTACTTATGCTATTGTATTGATACCGCTCAATCAGAATGAAACTTTAACAGACAAATCAACAGAACTCAAAATTTGTTTGTTGATTTCACGCCACAGCAGGGTTTTTAAAGGCAAGCCTATCCCTTATGTTATGGCCATTGTTACTTACCCATAATCATGGCGGCAAAAGCAAGCTCGAAGACAAAATCACACTTGAATAAGGCCACGGCCGCCAAATGGTCAATTTTGAAGGCGCAGGAAGACTTACGCACCGAGATGGAGTCAACTGCAGGACGGACTGCAGGATGGACAGCAAGTGGTCGGAAATGCCGACCAATCGAAAGAGAAATGTACAGAAGTAAGTCGGACTCATCTTGATGTTCTTGCTCAATGTGTCTGACGAAGCTCAACAGTCTCAAAAACTCGTCATGGAGAAGACCACCACAAAGAATTAGAGGCGAAGATGGAGAAACGCAAATTGAAGCTACTGCATGCTGCATACCAAACCAAACCCGAGGAGCTCAATGACAAACCTGCTGAGCTGCTCAGCGACATCGACAGGGACGAAGAAAACATGGTCAGTGTCTGGTTCTTCAGGGTGTGCATTGCTCACTACAATGTGGTAGTTCTTGTATCACTATGTACCTACAAAGGTATCTAAGCCACAGGCACTCATATTCAGTGCAATCAAAACCCCTCCAGTTGTCTCAGCTCCAAAGTCTATTGGTCAGTCGCGCAAAGGTACTGGATCTTAAGTTATGTATGTCTCCATCTAAACCAAATTTGTCAGCTTCTGCGGCTGTCGCACTTGACAGTGAGGACAGCCACGACAGTGACGACAATGAGAGTGAGGACAAAAGCCAATTATCGGACAACAACATCAAGTCTCTTTGTGGTGCTGACTTCATTAGCGAGCATCATGACGAGGTTGAGGATGCCTCACCACAGGTTGTCGGGACAAAGCGCCAACTGCAGGACACTGTTGAAGAATCCAAGCTGAAGATCATGAAAGCTTCAAACGGATCACGCCAAAGATTAAAGGCCAGTGATTTTAACGACATTACGAAGGACTTGCTTGCCATCTCCACATCTATATATCGCTGTTTAATTATCACACGGAATCCCTTTCCTCAGACACTCATTGTTGAGACGATGCTAGCCAAGGAGGCCTGGCGCGAGGCATCTAACTTAGCAAGTCTTACTATTCAACTTACTCCTCTGTTGGTCAAAATGGTAAGTAGTCCCTTTGCAACATCGACATTTCTACCCTAATTGATGTTATATGTCGTGTAGATGACAAGGTGTACTTCGCACGTTCGCGGAGAACTCAAGACTAAGATGCGCAGCATCATACTTTGGCTTCCGCACAAGCCGATCGATAGCGGCGATTAAACAAAATTGTGACCTTGCAGAATCTCTGAAGGATGGGTCGTGTTTCGTTTTTCAGGTGTGTCACTGATTATAATTTGGCCTGTCATTGGTTGATGTCTGACTGGCGGAGTAACAGGATTGGGAGACGAAATGTGGCATATACAAGACTGAATTGATACAGTCCACAGTGAACAACATGTAATTTGTGAACTGCGGTGATGAGGGTGTTATTCACGGGAGATATTTTGACCCTTTACCGGTTGAACTTCTGGCACTTATACTCACAGCAGTGAGTTTGGGCATTCCAGTGTTAATCCGCAGCTAACTCCCGAGATGGCAGATCAAATGTTGCATTGACAAGTGGATAACCGGAGTCAAGGAAGACATCAAATTCTCGTTGGCTACTTATTCTCCGGTCTATCAGGTCCATCTCAACTCTTTGCAGTGGTTCGATGAGCACACCAATGCCTACAATCTACTTGCTAAAATCGGTATTAACATCCTCGATCTTGTGCGGTATGTTCCTGGCCGCTGCCATTGATCATTATTGTACTAACTGATGTTGATGGCAAGATTCCACGCTGGTGTGAATTCGCTCTGGGCTGCTTGGCAGGCAACCCCTGTTAGTTTCACGGACAATATATTCGACGATGCGATTCGCGAACATGAAGACAAGATTAGAGAAGAACAAGAGGGGAGTTGTGAGGTCACGGAGTCTTAGTTTTTGTAGAAGTAGGCTGCCTCAAAAATTCTATTCAGTTTTGTCAATTTCTGTCTGTGGCAAAGATTGGCTCCTGTAACTCAAAAAAACAACACTACTACAAAGTCCTACCAGTGTTAGCTATTGCAGCCTGTAGCGTGCTACGACCAGCTACTCAAGACCCTTGCCAGTGCCGACGAACTTGAAATGTACCTCAACGCTGATGTTGAGGACGTTGCAGATGCGATTGCCTGGTGGTATGGACACTGCAAGACTTACCCCCGCTTATCTCGGATGGCGCTGGATTATTTAACTATTCCGGGTACGTTTTCATGTTTTTTGTTTTATTTTTGCTTTAACACGCCTCCACAGCAACATCCGTTGATGTTGAACGGATATTCAGCCGAGGTCGCTTGCTTCTATCTCACGTTCGAAACCGTCTTTCTGCACAGACCACCCGAGCTCTCCTTTGCGTAGGATTATGGAGCCAACTAGGATTAGTCAAGGACGCGGACATCAATTCTGTGGCGAGCCTCCCAGACGTGGATGGGGAAGATGAGGAACTCGACAACGACGGATGGGATAGCATTACTCTTCGTTAGTTTTTTACTACTACATTGTTATTACAGCGAGCTATATACTTGATGGGTATGTGTATACCCGCGGTACCCATTACCCGCGTATGACCCTTGTATTGACCCGCACCCCTAAGGACCCTTGGGTAGGTGGGTATGGGTAGTTGACGGGTGCGGGTGTGGGTTGTGGTTGTCGCACCCGCGGGTTTACCCCTGTCGAACCCTAGCTACTATAGCACTATATAGCATGGCACGTGGCTATATAGCTGCGTGTAGATGGGACTTGACACATATCACTACAGGTACTACAGCGACTATATAGCACCCTGTAGTCATAACACTGAGGGTAGTGAAGACAATGAATATCAAAACCAAAGACCTTTATGATCAGTGGTGAAAGCTAGGACATTCATTGACAGTTGATGTAAATCAATGCCGCTGTGCGACACTGAATCGCTCATTGACAAACAATGCATTTAATGTTGGGGTGATAATCATTGTCATATTCAAATTTTTTTTTTGTCAAAAAAAGAAAAAAAGAAAACCCCTAATCTTTGCAACTTGCCTGGTTTGAACTCACAAGCCCCGACCACACGATCTCAGCTGAGATCACATAATCAATTCTCACGCATTTGAGCATTGCTTACCACTAGACTACATGACCTTTTATATATCTATGCAGCAATTGATATATATATACCATACCCATGGGACTTAGAATAAAATATGATAATCTACTCATACAATAAATATGGTACACCGTGGGAATTATTCCGATAAAAATTAAAGTTGCAGTCCTTGTTAAGGGTAGTCTATTGATCGTCTCATGACATTTTTTGGTTAAGATCCTAGTAAGTTATACGCAAAATACTAGAAAGTCGGAGTGTTCAAGAAAGTTCAGGCACACAACTAATATTGCTTATTGCAGCCGTCCCTTGAAATAAATATAAGTACAAAATCACTCCTTATTCTCCTTAGCTGCCTCGGTCACTGAATTTGTTTGCTAAGTAAATTATGGACAAAATGGAAAAAATGGGACTATGTGATTTGCTAATGTGATTCAGTGTCCTTAAAAATTTTGACAATGAATTTCATACACTTACATTCTCGAGGGTAAAATTCAATGTCCCCAGTTGTCAATGAATGCAAGTAACCAGAGATTAAGTGACACTGGGAGTGAATTCAACACATTCATTGCCACTGTCACTTAATTTAATGGTTTTTACTTCCCACAGTGTAAGTAGTCATAAGAGTTTTTGCTGATGAAGGGAAGTCCGAGTTGGAGAGGTACTTGACATGGGTAATCAATACCGGTGGAACTCAAGCGCGGACTGGACATGGCAGGGAGCCTGCATCATTCGATCTTCTCTAGACTGTAGCATCATCATTCATTGGCATATGGTATCAGCGCTCAGTAGGTACTACGGCCAGTACTCGAGTTGTAGATTATCAATAGCGTAGATAAAATAGATCGTGATATTGATATGATAGTGACAGTATCTTACCGACGAAATATGCCCCAGGGTCTTACAGCAGTTTGCATAATAGTACGTTTGGCGGTAATTTCCAAAAAAAAGAATGCATTCATTTTCAAAAAGGTAGCGCTGCGTAGATCGATTTTTATCTCAAGAGCGAAGCAAGCTATTGACATGGTGCAAGCAACAAACCTGATCAGAAAAATATGGCGCAGACGACCAGCGAAAAAACTAAGCGATTCGGCGAAGTTGAGTATATTGTCCACTTGTGTACTGCCGCTGCGGTGCTGTCACTCCCCTTACCCCACTATGAAAGGTCGAACATTCTCGCAAGATGTATGCGAAATTATCGTCCGAATGCTACCACTCCTCGACACATCCGAAATCATGGCATACACTGGAGCAAGCAAAACGGCCATCCAACAAATTGCACGATGCTATAGATTGACTGGAAAGCCGTCTAAAGAAAGCCAGAGTGGTAATCATAGAGGTAGAGCTCGAATGATGGACTTGGAAGATATCGAGGTGCGTCGTGAATTATCCAATCTCTTTCTGCACACATTCTGACATTGCAAAAGTACATGCATGGCTGTTTGTCCCGCAGCTGTGATACAAAGTCAGAAGGCCTCGACGACGGCGCTGCAGCAGCTACAGCTGCTCCAACCTCTGGTGCGGAGCTGGATCCACCTGGTGTTGTCGCTGACGAAATGCCAGGCTTTTTCGGTGGAATGGCCCGTGGCCGTGGCCTAGCCTTTGGGACAATTTCTGGACTTGGAGGATCCTGTGTGCTACTGGGTGGCTGTAATCGTTTTTTTTGGAGGACGGCCACGTTTGCGGGGTGCCTTTGCCTTGTCATTGCGCACTTGGGCAGAGGCCTTTGCCATCCGAGTCCTACGACGGAATGTAGCAGACCGGGAAAAATGAGTGTGTGTGAATTTGGTTTTTATGCTAGCGACTTGAAGTAGACACGAGGCAAGTGTCTACTTCACCAAATCACTCCATTCTTTTCGCATTTATCTGCGCCCGAGTTTTCTGACCAAGTAAGTGTCTTACCGCTTGTCAATATCTTACTTCGTTACTGAAATAAAAATCAATCTTCATAGTTCTACTGGCTCTGAGGGCAGGTGACCACCAACTTCGCCGAATCGCTTAGTTTTTTCGCTGGTCGTCTGCGCCATATTTTTCTGATCAGGTTTGTTGCTTGCACCATGTCAATAGCTTGCTTCGTTCTTGAGATAAAAATCGATCTACGTAGCGCTACCTTTTTGAAAATGAATGCATTCTTTTTTTGGAAATTACCGCCAAACGTACTATTATGCAAACTGCTGTAATGACTGAAACGAGCGATTACGAACGCAGATATAACTGAAACGAGCTTTTACGAACGCAGACCTGAGCTATACCAAAAACAATCGGCTTATAAGCGACTGGCCAGCGCTTTTCGCCCGAACTGCATTTTTCGATGTAGACGGCGGCAGAGCAAGGTTGAGGTACTACAGATCTGCCAAAATAACGTGGTATGAACGACACGAATTAGAGGGAGAGGGACAACGGTGAAAATACGAACCAAGCAATTGCCGGCGAAGCTCCACTGGCACTTCCACACCAGTGAGATTGTAACATGAACACGAGAGTCACGCAAATTGCATCTGCAGAACCACATACTCCGTCGTTACATTTTGTAGATGTCAAGAGTTAACGTTGAACAACAAAAAAGATAATCAGCATGGTGAATAACAGAGATGTATGTAAGTACTCTATCTCCGTTTCGACCCAGAGCCTTGTTTCCATTGCTGCCAACCTGTTCTTGCTTGAGGAGCAGCAGGCGGAGGGACCGCAGCCATTGGAGTGGATGATGTAGGTGGGACAGCTGCTGCCGGAGGCGGAGGTTGAGAGAACGTCGGCACAGGAGCAAAGCCCTGGTCCCGTCTCCTAGAATCAGAGGGGTGCGCAACAGGGCCCCAGCCGCCTGTTGTGGGAGGGAAGGGAGGTGGCCCACTGGGTGGAGGCGCGGAGGGAGGGAGGGGTACACTAGGTGGACGCACATTTGCTGGCGGGAATGGAGGCCGACTGCCCGGAGGGGGTGCATTTCTAGGGGGAACTGGGGGAGGGGGAGGGGCTACATTGGGTGGTGGAGGCGGTGGCGCTGCAATATTATTGGGAGGAGGTGGGGTGACCGACTGAGAGCTGCCGACGTCAAGAGATGTCCAGCCACCGGTGCGAAATATTGGTGTAGCACTTGCTACGCTGCGAGAAGCTGGAGGCGGAGTATGCGCTGGCGGTGGTGCGAGTGGGAGTGGTGCGGAAGGCACAGAGGACGACGCATTGGAATCCAAAGATGCCCAACCTGGCCGCTTGAAACTAGTCGAAGGCTCAACTGGTGCTGAAACAGTTGCCCAGCCAGCTTTCTTGAAGGTGCTTGATTGTGCGTCAGAGGGGGGTGACGCTTCCGCAGCAGCAGGAGCCTGTGCAGGAGCCGCAGGAGCTGGTGTAGTTGTAGGCTTTGCCATCTTGATCCCAGCTGCCTTGGCAATTTTGCGAAGTTCCTTTTCTTCTCGCTTGCGCTCCTTTTCCTTACGCTTATCGACATCTTCTTGGGATGTCATACGTGTGTTGGCTTGCATATCCCGGAGGCGGGCCTTGTGGTGATGAGCGTACGAGTTTGTGTGCTCGTCATACTGTGCGACATTTTGGAATTGTTTTTCACAAAGCGAGCAGTAGAACGCTTTGAGCGTATCCGAAATTTCCGATTTGAGTGCAGCGCGACGGGCAGCATCGTCCTGGAACAACATCAGTATGCTCAACGATATCGCTAGTACGATTGAGCTCGCCTCTCGCGCTTTTCGTTGATCTTCGGTTTCTTTTCGCTGTCGCTCGGAGTCCAACTTGCGCCTTTCGGCAACTGTTGTCTCGATCATTCGAAAATCCTGAGTAGTTTTTCCTAGACCAGTCAAATCATTTTTCACATGAAATGGTATAGGATCGACACGCGCTGCAGCAGAAGGATAATCGGTGATGTGGTTCCTAATATGAATAATCAAACCTACCGTCTGCAGATAGTCCCAACGGCTGACCCTCTGACCAACCGAGTTTTGCGAGTAATGCGAAGCCCTTGTTGGTGCTTTTGATCTTGGTCTCGACCGTGATGACCTCCCTTTCTGGACCGCGGACATATTCGTCATATTTTTCAATGTCTGTTGCATCGGGGTGAGGCGATGGTGACCTTGAGACGAGCGAGACGTTGTCGTCTTCGTTATCATCAACATCTTGGTGAGAGCGCTGGGATGGATGCACGGGAGGGCAGTAGGGGTGTTTCATTCGTGCCAGAAAATATGGCAGAGTACCTTCATGGAATTGGTTTTATCTTGCACAGATTGTGCTTGTTCTTGATTGTCTGTATCGGGTCGAGACATGGGAATTGCATTCCAGCGAGCTATGCTCTGGGCTGACATGGTGAGTAGCGAAGAGAGGCAGCAGAGAACAATGAAATTAGATGATGGGCCAAATATGAAATGCATCAACCGCGTTACATGTATTGACCCCTCAATAGGGGGTGTAAATCCTTCAGCTTGCTCTAACTAAAGTTGCCGGGGTGCAGTTCTTAAGCCGTCTAACTAGATAGCTAGCTAGGATTCATTCACAATTGGGGCCTCATCCCGAGGTAGATTCATGCTCGTGCAATGAAATTGAGTGATTGACTCTAAGGTCAAAATCATATGCATCACGTGAGATATATAACTTTTCCTTCATCGCGTACCATACTGTTCATGGCCTTTCAATGACAACACCCTTGACCGCCCAGTCTTTCGTTAGGCTCCTAAAAGCTCCCACAGACCCACCCAACCCAGAAAGCCCGCTAAAAATTCAAATCGCTTGTGCAGCATGGGATGATACAACCCTTCATATCCCAAATAAGCACGAGCTCATCGCCGAGTTCATACTCACGCGACTGCTCAAAGACAAGTCAAAAACTAGGTGCGTTGGCTTATGCAGAGTGCAGCCATTGGTTTCGATAACCCATTAATCAGCGACAACCCGGTAATCGATCCGCGGTACTGGTGCCTTCTTTGCAAGGTTTTGGATGGCAGCGTAGGGGTAGGTGCACGAGGTCTCAAAGTATGGCTTGGTTCACTTCTCAATCGCACTCCGCTCGCGCCAATCATCATCTCAATCCTCACCCTGCTGAATGGCCTGCCAGTTACAGAGGCGAAAGAGCTCCTGATGTTCGTGCGTCAGTGCTTCTCTGTCATATGGCCGTTAAGCGTCCACAAAATTGGCGTGGAGACGCTATTAGAGTGCCTTGGCGCTGTTCTAGATGTTTCTTCTGAGCTGCTTAATTATGAGGCTATGGACAGTATGTGTGAGGCAGTTGTGTCTTCGTATAGAGAGGCACTAGGAAATGTGGGGAACAAAAAGAAGGTGCGCAATACTATTGTTCTTTCTGCGGCGAGAGCGACCTAAGATGTTTGCATAGCTACACGCGACCTTCCTCCAAACTCATCTCTCATCCTGGATTCGTGCAATCTCGCGATCATCCTATCTGTCTCCATCACTGGATGAAGCGGTATACGCCGCAGGAACGGAGACTCTGTTCTCTCTTGATGCGCTTCGTGCATCCACCTCATCTGAGAGTTTATTCACGGCCCTATCATCTTCGCCCAACTCACCTTTCACAACAAATCCTGTCATCCCGCTCCTACCCCGCATCTTCAGCACCCATACGCACTTCCTACGGCGGTACCGCACCACTTTGTTTCCCGCTTCTCAGAATAAAACACAAAACCGCGAAAACGACATGAGAATGACCTCAATGGCGTTCTTTGCCTCTTGTCTGAAACTATTGGCCGGGAACGATCTGAGCTGGGAAGCGAGAGTCGGTCTGGTCAGTATCATCGAGAGTGAGCGAATTTACGCGAGTCAGGGTGTGGAGGAGGTAGAGGTGGTGAGGGAGGATGCAGTGCGGATATTGGAAGGAGAAGCGGAAGGAGAGGTGGTACGTTTGGCTTTGGACGTGTTGGCCGTGCTTGCGAGGGTCGACTATGATGTGATCGAGCCTGTGGTGGGAAGGGTACTTCCTCGGTTGATCTTGGTGAGCTTTGCCCCTTCGTTCGTATTTTTTCTGTCAAAACAACGTTTCCGCCATTTCTGACGGCTTGTTCTTCAGACTCGCCCATCTCCATCCATACAAAAATCAGCCAATGTACTTCTCAACCTCCTCCTTGACTTCCACTCCAAGACGCGCACGTTACACCCATACAGTCATGCACTCCTTGACGCATGTACCTCTTTACTTTCCATCGGATCCCTTGCGTCACCTCGAGAACTCTACAGCAGCGCACGCAACTCTGCTATCCTCGCACATACCCATCTTTCCTCTCTTGCACAAGCCCTCCGCACATTCCTCACACCCACCCAAGTAAAAGAGGCAGCTCAGATTACCTTGGCTCTGAAAGACACCTTCATTACCTACCAAAATCTCTCCTCACTCATCAAAACTACCGAAATGACAGACAGACCGCGTAAAAAGCGGCGGAAAAGCGAATCTGCCCCGTCATCTACGAGTCCAGCGCCTATAGAGGACATGCAGGAAGTAGACGTCCATGCCCTTTCCCTTTCCCTTACTCTCAAGTTCGCGGCCCTCTTCCTGTCGAACCTCCCATCTTCTTTCGTCACCGCCGAGGTCCGTGAGGCTGTGCGTGAGGCGGGCATATGGGCCGTCGAAGTCGCTCGTTCGCTTCTTTGTGACAGGGCTTCAAAAATATCCTGGGCAGACCAAGTGACAGGTGCTGCGTTTCTTCGTTTTGCATATCAGCTATCGGCTTGCAAGTGCGGCGGAGAACAAACAGATGTGCAAGGACTGTTGGACATTGTGAAAACAGAAGAGGGTGTGGAGGGTGAGCTGGTGCTTGAAATTGTGTGTCTTCTTCCTCTCTTTGATTGGAAGGTCCTGATAGGGGTTTTTCCATTTTAGCTGCGATTTTGCTTTGCAAGGTCTTCTAGATCGGAAACGGATGTAGAAGCGGAGACTGTGTTTGACGTTGCCCTGACTTATGTCGAGGCGCAAGTACAGAACACGAGTGGTTTGATGGTACTCTACCTAATCGTCGAGCGGTGGTTAGATCTTGTAGAGTATGTGTTTTCTCTTTGCTCCCCCTATGTTCTGATGTACATCTTCACCATGCAGCGCTCACGCACCTAAATCGTCTCTCGATCGCCTGATCAAGCTTATATTCTGTATTTCGCCCACGTCTACTCGTCAGACGGACGTGCAGGGCTTGCAGCCAAAAGACGTACTCTTGGGCGTCTTGCACAATGCGCAGTTCTGGGAGATGGTGAATATACGAGGTGAGATCATCATCCACTCTGGTCCCCCGCTGTGCTTTCATTTTTTTCTCTTAATAATTGGATGCTTACCATTTGACGGCAACAGCTTCTGTCCTTGCATACCTCATGGCCTCGCCTAACTCTCTGAAAAGTTCTATGTTTGATCAGCTCAGCAGCACTTACTCCCTTTTGTTATATGTCCCCCCTGAGTACCTCACCAAACAGGCTCGCGTGGAGCTCGTGCGCCGGGCAATAGAGGGGGATATGTCTATTTCATCGTCGCTGCATGGGACTGCCGGAGAGAAGACGGCAAAGAGCAAGCGTAAACGTGACGAAGGCAAGGACCGAGAAGATGCGCAGCAAACGCTCACGCATATCCGTGTATTCCTTCAACGGATGGGGCAACTCGGGTATCTGAACACGTCAGATCATGAGGCATGTCTACACGTACTTCCTTTGTCTCTGTTTCTTTCTCACGTGCACTTGTAGAGCGCAAGAGATTATGTGAAGCACCTTTTGAACACGGAGATCTCAGATAATGCGGTCATGAGAGACGCCACGATAAATCTTGCGGAGCTCTATATTGTGTATGACTTTTCCCCTGCTGTTATTGTAAGGCTGCTGACTCCTGGGCAGTGCGCTCCTCCGAGCATCGGACAAAGATCTTTCCGCTTCAGCCGCATGTGCTTCCATCTTCTGCTCTCTCGCGCAGTCTGGTTCTCTTGAGGAAGAGAGCCTTCCTGAGTTATGTGTGCTCCAGCTTGTTGAGCGTCTCAGACAGGATTTTTCTGTTTCCAGGTGCGTTCGTTCGTCATTCGAAATATATGTAGATCTCCTCTAATGATGATATCAGTCTTCCCGACCCGATCATTGCATCGATGAAAGAACTGCACGCTGCACTCACACCAATGTCACAATCCAACGTCAGCGACACGCTCCCCTCAGGCGGGACTATCAAAACGTGGGCGCGCCACCTTTCATTTGGCCATTGGCTAGGCGTTGCAGGTAAACATTCAAGACGCCCTTAGATTTGAAGTGTTTTTAACTCACCTCGTTTTTTCAGCTACTTCAACATCTGGGTATGGCCACCAAATCGCAGTCGCGCTGTTGCGACACAGAGAAAAATATAAGTGTTCTGCAGAAATATTGGGACTTCTCTTCGAGGAACTGCATTGTTTGCCTAATGTCAACCGTGGGATGCATCTTGACCTGGCAGTAGGGGTTTATGTATTTTCTACGGAAGCTGGTGCGTTGTTTTTTTTAAGATGGACTCCGTTGATCGAACTAAGTTGTGGTGAACGTAGGAGCCTTGGATGAAGTCGTCTCATCCGGATGCAAGCATCTTTCAGTCGATGACTTCTCACATATACTGGATACAGTCTACGAAGCACTTCAAAGCACGCAATTTCCTCTGGCTCAACGTGTGCGCCTAGTACATGCAGCCACTGTCCTGTTACACGACGCACCTCAAGGTAAGTGAAACAGATTTCAATTATTTCTGAGCGCCTGTCTCACAACATCGCAGGGACTTTGAAGGTCGTTCAGGGGTCTTTCAGTCAATGCCTGAATCTCTTTATTGGACACGCGCAGTTCTTTGCGGGTCCTGCGGACTTGAAGGTAGCTTGCCTCGAGTATGTGGCTCGGCAATGTTCAGATAGGGTACGTCGGCGTACATCATTCCATTGATCATAACTTGACACTTCACCCTAGCCCGCAGCTCTTCGTCCCGTCGACCCTGGTCCCATCCATACCCTACTTTCTAAAATCTTGTGTGGATCTTCAACACATGACAGTACCACCACACTTGCAGTCTTCCACGCCTCCACCACCATACTAAACGCACTCGTTCGACTGCGACGCGATCTTGCCGTCCACATTCTGCCACATCTAGGGATGATCCTCCGCCAACTGGTCTCATGTACACGTAGTCTACGGCCCCAGCTGGCCGCGAAGCAGAGCCGCATCGTCACGGACACTCTCCCATCGTGGATAGCTCCATCTGAACCTCTAGGTGTACCTGAAGCTCGCGCACTTGCACGGCTCTTCACCTCCTTGACGACAAAAACTGTTCCCCGCGCTCACATGCAGCCAAGCGCGGAGCAGAAGGCGGAGAGCCTGGCAAAGCCATTCGCCAAGCATGCTGCTTATGTGGTTACGGCGTATATCGACGCTGTAAACGACCCGTTATGTGTCATGCGAGCAGATGTGAGGCGTGAGCTTGAGCCGGGCCTGTTTTCACTGTGCGAAATGATGGGTACGCACAGTCGTGATGCCGTTATGGTGAGTGCGTTGGATGCGGGAGGGAAGAGCGTGATGAAGGCACTATGGAAGGAGTATGAAAAACAGCGGTATATTGGGAAGGGGTAGAGCTCCACATTCATGTTGGATTCATCTATGCATATTTCCGATCTACTTGGGTGGATTCTCTTCACATCTACGCTGGTCTAACGGCCTTGACGTACACATCTCTGAATAGGGACTTCTTCATGGGCGGTGCATTCTCGGGTTTCCATCCCGCAGCAGCCTTCTCTTCTTTGAGCGTACGCATGAGCTCCAGGAAGTCTTCTATCGCCTGAGGCGATGTCTGAATGTGCATCAGAAGGCGAGACCCGTTCAGCTTAATGGGATTCGGAAGTTGTGCGGCCCTCTCGACTACTTCCCAGTATTCAACCCCGATAGGCGAAGGGTCATAGAACAACTAATAGACGGTCATTGTCACGTTCATGTGGCATTCTCCAACTTTGTCAGGGTATCACCTACCATGCAAGTTTCAGCGGGACTCAGGATGCCAATACCAAGTTGTTCTAGGCCCTGCTGCATCCGCTTTGCAAGGGCATGCACGCGAGGGAGTATAGGGAAGTTATAGGTGAGTGCGTACGCAGCGCAGCCAGCCATGTATCCGGTCTGGCGCATTCCCCCACCAAAGAGCTTTCGGAACCATCGCGCCTTGGCTATAAATGGTTTGGAGCCAACAAGGACAGTTCCGATGGGTGCACCTACGCTATCAGTGAGCATCGTCGACAACGACATAGCGGAGCAGGTCTTACCAAGTCCTTTGCTGAGACACAGACTCACAGACTCAAATGGATCACAAAGCTCTTTCATGGACAATCCGGTTTCTGCTGCAACATGCCAGATGCGCGCACCATCGAGATGCATGATGATACCCCGACTATGGGCGTTCTTCGAAATTTCAAGTACGTCGTCTTGTGGAATGATAGTTCCGTTCAGAGTATTCTCAAGCGCTATGATATGTGTCGGGGCACTTCAGGGGGGAAGTGTCACTGGAGCAGTCGAGCGACATTTATTTTGGCACTTACACGTGCACATCTGTGCCAGAGACGATGCGAGGCTCGATGTCCTCCCAGGTAAGATGGTGTTCTGGTCAGGAGTTAACGATAATTCAAATTGCGGATCTGATTGGGAGAAAGCATACCGTTAGCAGGAATGATCGGGATGCTGTTGGCACCCGAGTGAAAAGCGGCGCCGCCAGCTTCCATGCTGGCAAACGTTGCAAATATATATATCGAAAGAGACAAGCAAACCTACCGGTATATGTGAGCTCGTGCATCTGTGATGATTGAATATGGGGGCTGCTGTAAGTGCGTCCTGATGGCAACTTGGTTCGACATCGTGCCCGTAGGTAGAAAGAGGCCTGCTTCTTTCCCGGTGATCTTTGCGACGTGGTTTTCAAGCAAGGCTGTAGATGGCTCGAAATATACATCGTCCCCGAGGGATGCACGGAGAGCATAATCATTCATCTCCTTGGTCGGCACTGATCACGATATTTTACCATCATCAGCGTGGATTCATGCTCCATATCAAGATAGAATACCTGTGATAGTGTCCGCTGTAGATACTCTGTGAAACCCCTCTCTCATGCAATGATGTATTTATATTACTCACACACAAATGCTCTTGAGATTTCTTGCACTTTGAGGATGTTGTCATCATCCTGAGTCTTGGAATGCACATCGCAAGCGATTTCTTGCGCGAGTTCAGCGAAACGGACGTCTGTCAGGGAAGGCATGGCAGATATCGGGAGTACTGTGCAATGACTCCGGTATTTATATTATCATAGTTGTCCTGCTGACTTGCGGAACTCCATCAGTAAACAGATGAACATATTAAAATATCATATTTGACTATATATTCATGACCATCACAACAATCGCCATAAATATGGCGGTGGGTATTACACATACATATTTGACCTTACATAGTAACGATGTATGTACATGGTGGCCAACCAAGTTGTCCTGTGCTCGTCATACCGCCTTCTACTTGAATTATCCTGTGAAAGCAAGATGTCACCCACGCCCACTCAGTGAAATCTGGGGCCATCAGTATCAGTTCGAGCGCAAAAGTTGACACCTACCACAGGTGCGAGGGTTCTTGTGTCACGCGATAGTCAGTAAAATAATGAACATTGGACACTCATTTCCTATGTGGGAGACGCTTGCCTAGGCTGACTGAGCTATCCATTACATGGATCACATCGAGTCCTGCGGCTAGTTCGGATTATGTTCTTCAATGTCCTGAATGCCATAACGGTCAGGATCTTGCCAGACTGCCGAATTGAACGAAATATTGTAGTGCCGCTCAGTCCTCTACTACGCACTACCAAAGTCCATTATCCTGCATAACAAACACAATCTTCACACTGTATCAAAAGGGTAGGTATTAGCAGATGAAAAACCATATCACCCGATAGGACATTCACTGACAAAAATATTTGATTAGAACATATGAGTGCCTCGTGTTATGCGGGAGCAACGACAAAGCCTATAACAGAAATGAGACACGACGAATATATTAGATGATTGGCCACTTCATTCTGACAATAGATGTAATGCGCCGTCCTGACATCGACACTGACTTCGTACAAGCCCGAAATCGATACATACTTCGTACAATACATTCAAGTCCAGCCTGTTTCAAAAACAGGACAGATCTGAAAACCAAAGCCCGAGATCGCGAAATTAGTGTCAGTTCTAAACACGACCGGAAAAATATTCTGCCAGAAAACCTGCCAGAATTCAAGACGAAGGTGCGCGGTTCTAGTATTGCCTTTGCAGAGCAAGTTGTTATATTCTTATCAGCCTCGGCAATCACAGATAATGGTAACAACAATTACTCCTCCTCCCTACCGGCACAATGGACATAAGAAACGAGGGGGGGCAGAACAGTTCACCGCTCGGAGATTGAAGAATGGGTTGGCGAAACTGCGGGGAGATCGTGAGGTGCGTTTAGTATTTAATTCAGTAAATGATTGACCTTTGTCCGGAATCTGCTCGGGGGTAATTTAATATACCAAGTGCGCCTCTCATCTTTGAGACTGGACGACTTCTTCCACATGAGGGGCATTCGGCTCGGCCAACTTTCCACGACAGATGCCGCCCGCAGACAAGATAGTATTGATTATAGCGCCCACAAATACAGCAGTTTACAATACAAAGTGTACCTGTTACTTGGTAGATTAGAAGGTGCAATAAAATTTACGTTAGATGGCATGCCGAGGAGTAGTCACTATTCACAATCATCTCTGAAATGAATCATTTCGATTGCCAATCTCAGTATTTAAGAGTGAATGCGACATAAGGATTACATTCAAGCAATTATTGAAACACGTATATACGACAAAACAAAAATCTAGCTACTCCGAGTCATAAGCGGCGTCCTCTAGCGCCTTTCTCTGCTCAGCTAGCGCTGTGACGGACATCTTGGACACGACTTCCGGAGTTAGGTCCTGGCGATGATTTTTGCCGAAAATCTTTCTGAACAGTATGTTAGATACATGATGCATAGCAAGCAATAAAACAGTCAATACCTCGTCCACCACTCCAAAAGCTTGGCTACCCTATGTTTTGCGACAGGGCCAGGGACGTCCTCGAAGAAGTCGACGATGTTATTCCAGAATCCCGCGTAATCGAAGTCGCCGTCGACGGTACGCCAAGACGAGACGCTAGACAGCGCGAAACGAACCTGTCAGACAAAGGTTATAAGCCGCGCATCGAGGGTGAGAAATCATCTTTGCTCACCTGACAGACAACATATGCAATTGAACGAGGGGTTACTTTCCTCGTGTTGATGATTGCGGCGACGCAAGTTTTGACTTTGACTTTATCGTTCGACGACCGTCGAGCGCGCCTATTGTTCTCTAGAATGTCAGCTCCGTCGCCATCTCCATCAGCGTCCCTTGCGGAAGACGGAGATGTGAAGATAGCTTTGAAGGCCTGGTAACGCCAAGACTTTGAATATATATTCGCGATGTAGTACAACCCCATCTACTGACCTGAACCAGAAGTTTGGACCTGAAAAGACCTTTCTCCAGGTTTCTATCATCGATGGCGTAATTCTCGTATACGAACAGCGGCCACGAATTTTCCGACACGATGTAGTCGGATGTTCTTTCGCGAATCCCGGCCTTCACGCTGCAAACATTTCAGAGTCATGTGATTCGACGAAGGGTGATACTTACCGGCCGTCACTCCAATCCCACTCGGCGGGGCAGAGCAACTTCCCGCAAATGTCATGCGCGAAGCCGCGCAACTGCTTGTCGTTGGACCTGAGTAGCGTGGACGGACGAAAATCCTGGTTGACCCAGGCAGCAACGAGGTCCTTCAGAGTGGAAGTGTCGTCGCCGCGGGCCGCATCAGCTCCTCTTTTGATCTATAGTGTGATGAGTATGCAGCGCGAAACGATGAAGAGCGCAAACCTTTTTTAACATGTCCTCAGATTCATCGACTTCAAAATCGGCAAGCTTGAGATGCAGCCACGGCAGAGACTGCGAGAGTGCGAGGTAGCCACGCTGCAGGCGATCTTGCCTGAATACTGTAATTAGCCATGTCACGGATTAAAAAAGATGCCTTACTCTGGGGTAGTGTCCTGCACCGCGCCGTTCACCAGGCCTGGCTCGCACCTGCGATCGTTTTCGGCGATCAAATCCTCCACGTTAGTGTAAAGGACGACCATGCGGCGAACTGCCCTGCCCTGAGCAACGTAGTACGTCGTCTTTCTTTCGAGGATCAATGAGGAAGAGTATACACAAAGATGGTACGTGACGAACCTTTGCTTCGTTCCTCTGTCCTGCCTCATCGTCTGCAGTTCTTCTTCCAACGCAGCAATACGGCGCTTGGCCCTTGAATCTGCGGAGGTAGGGACTGCCCCAGAGAGGTCCGGGAGCACGAGGTCGCGTGACTGATTGTCAGGCTCTGGCGCAGACATGGTGAAAGTGAGGAATGTCAAGGCAGAGGTGAAGCGCGAAAACTAGAGACCGTGACAGACTCGGAATTGTACAGAAGGTAAAGGTAAGAAACCCTCACCTGAACTTTTATACATGCTCGCCTATGGTATTGAGATATATAGAGTAATGCCTAATGAGGATATGGTGAGTCTCGTCTGAAAATGGCACCATAACATAACTTACCGTGACAGGGCGGTAATGAAAAGCAACCGTGACGACTCTATGTAGAGTCTGCGTCCTTGCCCTGATCACCGCATGCATCAGCCTTCATCCCTCGTTTTCCGACTCCCAAAAGTATCACTACCTTGAAAAGTTACGATCTGCTGGTAGTTTTCCTCCTTAGACACGATGTGGTCACCATCCGCGTTTTCAGCACCGGCGCGTTCGTACAATTTCAAAAGCTATTCTGAACGTCAATTACTTGCCATCTAGGTCAAATATCACTCACATGTTCAATTGTGACTGCAGTGAACAGTCCAATCCTTACGGTCCGTTTCACTTTTGGATCAGACCACAGCCCAACCCAGCACATTTCGAGGACCTTGCGGACGACCAGATACGAATCTTGAGAAAGCGCTTTGAAGATAGACAGCAATATATATGTATCTCTGTTGCTCGAGGAAAGTCGATTTCACCAGCGAGGAAGTTTTAGAGTTAATGAAGGAGAGAATAAAAAAGACGTATTAAGTGTGGATATCTGGTTGACGAAATTCAGACAGTTCAAGGCAGCAGATATCTCAGAGACATACCAGGTCTTGCAAACGTCCTCTGCGTCTCCTTTCCCTTTCCTCCTCATGCGATAATTTTACGAAAGTCTGAAGTATCGTGAACGATGATGAGCCATCGTAAGGAGGCGAACGCACCTTCATGTCCCATGGAAACGCTTCACAAAGTGCCTTCCGCTCCCTCCCACCTCCAAAGTGAGAGATAGTATTGAACAGTTTCAATGAAACGAGAATGACTTGAAGCTCATTGGAGCCAAATGCGAAAGATGTGATTTTACGCATCTATTTTGGCGATAACAACGTTTTGATAATCAGAATGCCGTGTGAGTGGTATTATGGGAAATGAGAGGACAGTAGAGTAAAATCCGAGAATAACAGAGACACAAGGAGCGATAGACTGGACGACTAGCACATCACAACATCAGGACACTGAGAGAAAGAATAAGGATACACGCACTTGATTCGTACCCTCCCATATCTCAAAGGTGTCATGAGCAACCTGGCGAACTCTCCATCCACTCAAGCGCGATTCTCTCATCTTGAGGAGCAATAATTTCCTCTGACTTGACAGACAGAGTTGAGCGCAATGCAGATAGGGCTGCGGGACGTGAGCGAACAATTCTTCGTAATGATGAATCTGATGATCGTAAGTATGCGCACCTTCCATTTGGGGATTCTGGTCTTGATTCTGGACTCCCGGGCCGAGCACGTCTGACATATCGATTGCATTCAAAAATTTATACGCCTTCCGCGACGTTTGCTCAGGTTTATGCGTGTTTTCTGGGGGCGCTCCGACTTGCTTTGAGGCATATGATGCTCGCTGGGTTTGAGTTAATCACTCGAGTCCATAAGTATAACTTGACCTAGCCATCTTAGACGCGCCAATCAATCGTGAATTTTGCTTAAATCATGTGATCATCATCATCGAGATGTCTGTCCTACATGACTGAGTGTCTGATTCTTCGCCGTCCTTCTAACCCTCGAGGACGATGACGGCAACGACCCCCTCGTAGCTCCAACATGCCCTATCCGCCTTTGCTTCACTACTGGTCGTGACCCCGGACCAAGCTCAAAGTCGCGCCACAATCTCCTCTCTCGCGCTCGACAATATGGGACCCACTGCCCCTCTCCAATCAATACCAATTTCTTGACGAAGCCTTCGGACAGCTAACTCCGTTGAACCCAAACAACTGGCTACCAAGCGATCGGAGAAGCCAAGCTGCTTCGCTTGGAGGATAATTCTGTTGCTGACAGAAGAGATAGATTGATCTCTGCGGTTGTAGCGCATTCGTTAGAAAACCTCGAAGATCAAGCAGAGTCTACGCACGACAAGCGCTTCTCCATGCGATGAATGTGTTGAAGTTTCGTTAGGTACCACTTGTCGATGTTAGTCATCTGCCAGATCTTGTCGACGCTATCGCCCCGATGGAATACATTTGCGATGGCGAATATCCGCTTGTCAGTGGGATTGACCAGTTCCTCGTCGATGTCCTCCACAAAGTTGTTCTTATGCAATTATGCAACAAGAAAATTAATCTTACTGAATTGACCAAGACTGCTCTTACATACCTTCGCAAATCCAAGGAACTGATCGTCAATCGCCTGTATCGCCTTTTGGATGGTCTCTTCGAAAGTTCTGCCCATTCTCATGACCTCACCGACGCTCTTCATGCTGCTGCTAAGAAGCCGGCTGACCCGGTTGAACTTATTGAGGTCCTAACGTGGTATCTTCACGACAACGTAGTCTAAGCTTGGCTCGAAGCAAGCGCTGGTTACTTTCGTCACGGAGTTCTTGATTTCGTTTAACGGGACACCCAGACCGAGCTTAGCAGCAATAAACGCAAGGGGATAACCTGTAGCTTTCGAAGCCAGTGCTGACGAATGCGAGAGACGCGCGTTGACCTATTTAAATGTCAGTGCAATGAATATCAATTAAGATGATGAAACATACCTCAATAATGCAGTACTCCTTCTAATCGGATTCAGAGCGTACTGAATGTTACACTCGCCAACAACACCAAGATGGCGAATGACATTGATCGCAGTTGTTCGGAGCATGTTGTAATCGAAGTCGGATAGCGTTTGGGAGGGAGCGACCACAATGGAGTCTCCATTGTGGATACCAAGTGGATCAACATTCTAGCAGGGCACCATGAGATCATGCGTACGCCGTTCAGCGAAAATCGACACTTACCTCCATATTACAGACAGTTATACAATTGTCGCGGGAATCGCGGACAACCTCGTATTCGATCTCTTTCCAACCTTTCATGCTCTTTTCTACGAGCACTTGAGGGCTAGTCGCGAATGCCTTGCTACAAAGAGCGCGAAGCTGGACTTCATCCTGTGCGAAGCCAGATCTCAGACCACCCAGCGCGTATGCAGCACGAACAATGACAGGGAATCTGATCTCACGCCCTGCGGCAACCGCTTCATCTGGAGTGGTGGCTGTAGCAGACTGAGCACAACGCTTCCCAATATCCTCCATCGCTTGGGCAAATGACTGCCTATCCTCTGTCGTGATGATAGTCTCGATGGGAGTACCAAGAACCTGTACTCCAAGAGCCTCAAACTCATCTTTGAGTTTGATGCCGACATCAAGGGCGGATACCATCCGGTTTCTCGTATTTGATAATTTTGCGCACGAAATCGGGTGTCACTACAGGACACGACCGTTTGGATGAAGACGAGGTTGGGATGTGGGTTTTAAAAGTCGGGGAGCTGAAAATGATACTGCAGCGACGATATTATCAGAGTTGGGATCGTGACACGGGATATCGATGTAATCTTCGGAGAATGGTGGCGAGGATGAGAAGGAGACCGAGCGTAGCTCGGGAATGAGAGACTGCAAAACCATGACTAATCCCACAACTCCATGAGACTCGACCATTACTTGAGTCGATAACTATTACCAAAGACTTTTCCGTGTGGTGTGGGTTGGTTTGGTCACGGTTGCCACTATGATCTAAAACGCGCACAACTGGCCTGCCCTTAGAAATGATTCAAAGTAATTTAAAGGACTTACAACATCAAAGAACACCACGGGGCAGTCCTGCGCGTTTTAGTCGCAACTAAAAGAGTAGAACAGAGTGAAGTTAGGATATATACATAGACCCCGGAAGTATAGCGTACTCAACACTCGGCTCGGCCCCGCTTTCAACATTTATATACACTCGCACGATCAGGCGCTTAAAGTTTATAAATTATTTCCGACATCGTTTCCAGGAAAGGAAATGACCCTGAGCGTGCTTGCTCGCTTGCACTCTAAGTTATCCATCGATATCTATGCCAGCAATATTAATCGATTCGTTGGGCAAGAAAGACTCTGACCATCCAATGCGCGTGAACACATACCGGGTCATGAAATTTGTCTACTATATATTAGACCCATCAAACGAACACATTGCAAGCCTTGATCCTTGAACGAAAAACCAGGTCCCCCTACACATCAAGCATGTACCAGTATAGTCAGGGCGTAAAGACATCGTAGCCACTAATTAATACAAACGGATGGAATCTTGTGATACTACAGTACGAAAATGAATGTCCGTGACTCGCTCGAGTCAAAATCAAAAATGCGTGAAGTGATACGTTCAGTCAGATATCTCCCACTAGGCCGCCTTCGGGATTTTAAACCTAGAAGAGGGAAGGTCGGACGTGCTCGCACGCTTACGTTTGGAGCCTTGAGCGTCCGCCATCTCTTCCTCAACCGAGTCATCTGTCTGTTCCGAAGGGGCGTAAGAACTCTCACTATCCGACTCGCCGAAAAGCTTCACGTGCCACTCGCAATAACGGTCGTAGGCGGTGATTTCGGCGGCTGTCAGGATTCGTCTCGAGGCACGGCTCCAGTCAAAGAAAGATTGGATAGGAGTTTCCGCGAGAACGGTGAAGTCGAGGTCGGGCGCGAGCTTCTGCTGTAAAGTTACAATAGAGTCTTTAATCTTCGTCAACCCTTTGTCAAGCATGTTGGTGACGGAGTCCATAACTGTGGGCACCAATGTCTGGATCAAATCCGTCAAATTGATTCAAAAGGTTGAGAAGGATGTAAACTTACGCCGTACGCCGTATGCGCAGGATCTTTGGAACGAACGTTGATCGGCGCATCATCTCCCTTCACCCAGACGAAGTATTCCACCGATGTGACATGGCACCATGTATGGTCGCCGATTACGACGGGCTCACTGAATGAACGTGGGTGGTGCGTAGATTGAGGAAATCTTCTTGAGTGAGGAGGCGCGGGTCACTGCTAGTGCCGCCACGTAGGACCGTTGATGCGATGGAATCGTCATCGGGAGCGGCGTAGTCTGTATCCTCCCGTACTAAAACAACAACCGCGCACTTAATGTCTGGACGCGCCAAAACAACTTTTTCAACTTTTCCAAATACATGCTCATCTTTCTCCGAGAGAGCGCATTCAGCAAGGAAGGGAACCAGAACGACTTTTGCTGGTAGATCCATTGCAGTGATTGAGACGATCACAAGCTGTGATCGATGCGCCCTTGACTTTTAGCGGCCAATTCATGTTGGTTGTCGTAAAAATGATGTCGCGATCATACGGAAGGGCGTCGATACTTTTGATGATGGCATCCTTCACCACGTCGAACGATGCTTCGTGGAGAACGGTGGGCATGTCGACGATGAGTATATGGGTGTTGCGTTCGTAAGTCAGCCTGGACAGATTTAGTATTGCCCGAAAGCGTTAGCTACAAATAGCTTGCCTGGGCTTGGTCGAAAATCGGGAAGTTGCGCTCAAAATCTCTTCGATTGATCCGAATTCCCGCGCTCCCACACCGCGGAATTCCTGTGATATTGAGTAAGCACACGAACACAGGATCGAACATGAGGACATACCATGCGATTCTTGTGTAAAGCTGGATTGGATACATAACTCAATACTTTCCGTATCATATCTTCAACTCAGTCAGAATATTGTTAATTAACCACTTAATTCTCGTTGACATACTGGTAGATGGATCATAATGAATGGGCCGCTGGCAGACATCATGCAATGGACTGGAATCTGTGGAGGCATGAGCTGTAACTGGTGTGCTTTCTGGTGTCTCCTCTTTCCCAACGGATGATTTGGTAACACCTCTTTTTTCAGTGCTATCTTTTGAGGATGCTGGCTTGTCAACTTTGATGAGGTTTGTCTTGTGGTTGGCAGAAGTTGTCTGTGGAGCAGAGTTGGTTCTGGTTTCATAGAGTTTGTAGGGGTGTTTGGGAATGAAAGAGCTGTGGTAAGTTTTTTTTTCATGCTGAGCCACTAGGGTAGGCATGGTTGTTAGGTGCTGGGTGGTGACTATTGACTTCGTGTGGCGAGCTCTGACAAGCTTGGAGTATAGAGAAGTCGTGGAAAGAGATGATCAAGATTACAAATGATAACGATCATCGCCAGGAACGGCAGCACGTGCACACTCACCAATATTTTCACTGATCTGAATATGTATGATCACTGACTAGTACTGACTGTTTAAAAAAGCTCAAAGCATACAGTAAAGCCTTATGAAGCATGCATGCCTTTGACCAGCTTTTAAGAGGCCTTGCATGGCATGAGCAACAGGCTCATTCACATATCACCATACGGTCACGTGATGAAGAGTGACTTGCTGTGTTATTAATAT